TTGCATACCATGATTTATACCAGTGATGCAAGATTTGTCCTTCATGAATCAGCTCAAACAGGACATAGTTTGATTCCAGTATTTAGTTCCTTGAATTATGAGATAATTAAACTACCTGTTAAATTTCTTAAAGAGAAATTGAGATTGCATTAGTAAGTATAACTTAGGTTTAGGATTAGGAATATCAAACACAATCATCATGAATCATCCTATAATTTTTCACTTTGGAGTGAAAAGCATGGTTACCACTTCTCAGCAGTGGATTTCTCACTGAACTGACATTCTTTTCTATTTGACAGGGACCTGGTGGATCCTTGGGAAACCAGAATCCATCCCAAACATTCCAGTTGCCGTCGGGTCAGCAGTACTCTACACCAGTACCATCGTCTCCAGGTCAACTCTACCAAATGCCTCCTCCTATTTCAGGGCAAGTTTCTCAAAGCCCAGTGTCAAACCCTGGTCAACCTTTTCCAGTGTTACCTGACCAGCCAAACCAAGTGCCTCCTGGTCATTTAAATCACATGTTACCTGGTCAATCCAGTCAGATATTATCAAATCAACAAAACCAAGCTCCAGCTCCATCAAGCCAAATGCCACTTCCTCAACCAAGCCAACTGCCATCTAGTCAGCCAAGTCAAATGGTTTTCAGTCAGCCAAATCTAATGCCATCTAGTCACCCAAACCAAATGCCTTCTGGTCAGTCAAACCAAACCCCACATGGTCACTCAAGCCAAATGCCACATGGTCAGCCAAACCAAATGTCATCTAGTCAAGTAAACCGAGTGATCCCCGGTCAACCAAATCAGATGGCTCCTGGAGGACAGCTTTATTCAGTACCAGGACCAAGTCCTTCCCAACCTTATGAGGCACAGCCAATGATTCAAGGCCAACCACAGCAGACTCAGAGGTCAGATTCTAGTCAACCATATCAGATACCAATGTCTGCTACTGGTCCAACTTATGAAATTTCATCCCAGAACACCAGTCAGGCATATCAATTCCCTGCTGTTAATTCTGTGTCGGCCTTAGGTGGGTCAGCAAAACCCGGTGTTCTTCGTCAATCAAGTCAACAATATCAAGCAACACCATATCCAGGTCAACCATATCAGATGCCTGCTTCAAATCCTGACCAGTTTTATCAACCTCAGTCTTTGAATCCAAGCCAACTTTACCCTGGTCAGCCTGTGCAGAGTCCCTTGCCTCCCTCGCGAACAAGCCAAGCATACCAAACTCCAACATCAGCTCCTGGTCAACCATACCAGGTACGACCATATCAACCTTCACCTCAGAATCAAGGCCAGGGTCCACCACAACCTAATGCTCAGACAATGCCGGCAACAGGACCAGGAGGGTATCAAGCCTATCAGACACCAGGACAGGTTCCTAATCAAGTGCAGCCTTCAGGAAAGCCACCAATACCATCTGTAGTGGGTGCTGCTACTTCACAGCTCCAGCAACAGCAGCAAGTAATGCCACCCTCCCCTGTACAACCAAAGTCACCTGGAGTACAATCCTATCATCATCATCATCATCCATACCAAAATAATTATAATTACTCCTCACCTCATACACAAAGTATCCCAGGAAATAGAACTGTGAAACAAGAAAATCAAGGCTATGGCCCAACTCCTGTGGGACAACCACTACAAATGATAGATGGAAGAACTCAGTCCTATGCTCAAACTGCTCCATCCCAGGCTACCCAATGGGCTCCTCCATTTGCAAACCCTGCCCCAACCTCTGTGTATGGTCACACATCTCCTTACCCAGGTGCTCCTCCAGTGTCATATGCAACTGAACAGTCAATGATGCGGCAGTCACAACCCCAACATCCACCACCTGGTTACCCTCCTAATTCTTATGCAGTTGGTTCAGGATACACAAACCTGGGTCAACAACCAGGCTTCCCAGGCAGACAACCCTATGCACAGTCAGCTCCTCAGATGTATGGCTCAGGTTACCACCAGCCTGAACCTCGGAGTCAATACACAACACGAAGGTCACCTTTATCAGATGCTAAAATTAATTCAATCGATACACTGCTTTGTCATGCAGAGGAACTGGAACCAAGAGTTTTATCTTTTTCAGGAACCAGAGGTCAGTTAAATATCGTTTTGTCTTCCTTTTGATTTCTCAACTCAGTTACATGTGGATTGTGAATTGTATTAGATAACTTGAGATCAAGTTCAGATCAGAGGATAAGTGGGTTAGGTGCTTGTATTGTCATCATTTAAAGATTCTCAGCAGTTGAATGTACAGCTGGAGATCAGGATTGTCTTAAATTGTTTTGTAGCAAAGTTAACTGAAGGACTTCCAGAGAGGATTGCTACCAGTATATACCTCTTGCCAACCAAGTGCAGGGTCAGCCCTGTAAGTTATTGGCCAAGTTTTTTTCCCCTCAGCTTTAGGGTTCATGTGCAAAGCACTTGGTACAAAAATCCAAGCAGACACTGGATCAGTATCTTACATTACAGACCTCAAACTCAGTAAGATATTTTTTATATCTCTGGGTTTGAATAGAGGAGAAATTTCAATTCAAACAAACTCTCCAAATTATTTGTTTAAAAGATAATGATGCATCAATTTTGAGACTCTTTCAATTCTTAATTCTTTGATTGATTATATATTTAATGATATTGCTTTTTTAAAGGTGACAGAGAGTTTATTTATCTTGATGAACAACTAACAAAACTGATTTTGGATCTCGATAAAGTACAGACAGATGGATTAGAAGATGTGCGAGTGGCTCGCAAGTCAGCCATTCAAAGAATACAATTTTTAATTGATACTTTAGAGAATAAAGGCTGAAGAAGCTCCAGAAGTCATGTAAGCCTGTCATCCGTTTAACAAGAATTCAATAAAATTATATGTTATTCTAGAAGCTGTGAAGTAGGTTTGACTAGTCATAAATCGTGATTGCTCTCTGCTGTGTGATATCAATATTTTAGCAGCATTTTTTTCCTTCTTTATCTCTGTGGTTTTGACACAAAATTACAGGATTAAGCCAGGTAGGCAGCTTCTTCATGGAAATATCCCACTTTGACTTAGCTAGAATAAAATGAGCTATACAAGACATCAGAGTTAGAGTAAATTTTGGATGTTTCTATTAACAAGTTAGTTTTGCCCCTTGAATATTAGGTATGTCATTTAAATCTATTAGGGATGTTTCTATTAACAAGTTAGTTTTGCCCCTTAAATATTAGGTATGTCATTTAAATCTATTAGGGGCTGATAAAGCATACAGATATATATTGAAGAAACATTTCTGCTAGGAATCAGTTTTAAAAAGTATTTTACATTTTCTTAGAGGGAAGTAGCGAGCATTATTTTTTTATTTCTTTCATTAACTGTAACGAAGGAAATGACTAAATGTAGGGAGTACTCCTGTTAGTTAAGTCACAAAAGTTTTAACTCTAGGTTTTAATTACAGATTTTTCTGACCTTTACACCTTGGCTGAATTTTTTAAGTGACATTTCCACTGTACTGGCTCCCAAACTGATACACTCTTCCAATTTTTTGGGGGACACAAATTTACCGTTGAGCTGCGGTTGAATCCTAATAATGGTAATGAGTTGTAGGTTACTGTCAAGATCAACATGTGACTTTTCACATGGAGAATTGGAAGTAAGTAAAAAGCTTCTCCAAACTGTTCCTAGTGCTTGAGGTTCAGTAGCAATCTTGTCACGTTTTATTTTGGAGTTAACATCTGGGCTGTGCAAACAAAAAACACAGCACTAGTAATAGTGTCCATACAATCAGTAAATTTCAAAGGTATAGCAAATATTTTACTCTTGTCAATAAAGTGCCACATAGAGTAAGTGTGCTGATAATTATAAATTAATTATTGCCACCACCACATCCTGAGGGAAATGCTCTATTGGATTCTAAGTGTGGGTGTAATTCTCAGTACTCCAAAGCCTGATCCTATTTCCAACCAAAACATGCCATTTTCCACACCCATTTTACACACCAGACTTTAAAATCCCCTCTCACTTTCTGTCATTTTTGATACAAATTTCCTAGTAGCTTTATTGAAGGCAAATTAAGCATTACATTTTTGCAATTATTTTTCTTTGCTATCCATTCTTACCCTGCTGAGGATTGCTTGCAAACTATACCCCATTTAAAACCATGATGGTCGAAATCAATGCCTGTTTTAAAACTGAAACAATTTCCCTTCAGGCAACATACTTGTACAGCTTAAAACCTAACAGAAGTTATCATCAAGTGACTTCGATTGTCTCTGTTCAGGTTAATGAAATACAGCCATTCATTAATTCACAATAAATTTTGGAAGGGGTTTTTAACAAAAAACATGAAAAGACATATGATATGTAAAAAGTTTCAACTGTATAAAACAATGTGAAATATAGTTTGTGGGAAAATAATGCAATTTTAAACAACATTAACTCAAAAACCCTCCCCAAGTTGTTGCTCTCAGGTAATAACTTGCATCTTAAAGTAATGGCCATTGAGGATGCATTTAGCCACATCTTTTTTCACCCAATATTTTTATTTTCTGCAATCTACAGGGGATAATTTGCAGGCCAAAATTACACAATAACGATGTAGTTCATTGTGCTAATTCAAGGGCTGAAGACCATCTTTACATAGTCCATTGACTGAAAAGCAATACCATGTTCTTGGAACATGTACATAGTTATTTGCCTGATTATGTGAAATTCATGCCCAGTGCAATTCGGAGGAATCACCTTGAAGTTATCTAGTATCACTGTTCAAGCAAGAACATGTTCTTCAGTCACAGTTTTTAATGACACGAGGCTGCTACAAAACTGACACAACATCAAACTTATCATCAGTTTGACTTGTGGGCATACATATTTATCTCAGCAATTTCTTTCTTTAAAATATGGGTACAAATGAAATTTTGTCACTATATATGTACCTAAGACACCCGAAGGAGAAGTGGAAGATATAACAACAATTTACACAAATCTACATAAAATTGACCCACCAAACAGCAATGGGATCTAACTCATTATTGTCTTTTCCCTGGTTTAAATCTACTTTTGAGTTTTGATTCTTTAAACTGTGGACTGATATCTATGAGGCCTGCATCTTTCATTAAATTCCGTGCACAGTTGTTATAATGCTTAAATCTGTCAGGCCCCAAAAGAATCCCACCATACCAACGGGTTACCACAACAACAACATCTCTGACATTTAATATTTGTAACAGGTGTAAAAGTCTTGAGCCCGCTGCTGCCTCACCATCATCATCACAGTCTTGAAGAAAACAGTTTCGGTCCTTACAAAATATTCTATATGCCATAACATTGTGGGTAGCATTGTTTACTTTCCGGTTTTTCTTTAACTCTTGTAGTACTCCTGAAACTTGATCCAGTATTATAACATGAGCAAGATGTGCTTGAAAAGTACTTTTCCTGTCTGTAAAAGGTTCCCCATGAGTAATCTCTGGGCACAGGTCTGATCTTTCACTCCTGATTAATTTCAAAGCATCCTCACCATTGCAACTGAGATTTACTGACTGATCCTTCTCAGAATCACCATCTTCAATTGTTTCTGATAATTTGATGTTCTCACCTAAGTCAGATTATATGATCAAAAAAAAAAGAAAAGAAAAACATTAGTCAACGCTGCAAACAAGGATCTGTATTAGGGAAGGTACGCTTTTTTCTTGGGGGGGGGGCTGGGGCCTCAGAGGGGAGGGTCATCAGTGAAAGTGAGCACCAAAGGGGAAGGGCCATACCCTCTTTTTCAGCTATTCAAGGGGAGGGTCACACCTGTTATTTTCCATTTTTCTTTAACAGACTAAGTTTTTTCTTTTCAACTTGTTCTTTTAATTCGGTGCAGGTACTAGTTTTATAAGGTTACTGGGTGTCTACATGTATATTATTCCATGGCACATAATTTTCTCGGAGTACTCATGTCCTTTTCCGTCCGTATCGTGACGTACTTGACTCAGGTATGGTTTCTTGTTCCAGCTGTTGTCTATCCGCTGCCTGATCTCCTGAATCATTAAGCTCTGAAGAGTTACTAGAAGATCCAACAATGCCCTCTACCCTGTCACTGTCACTGTCACTGTCAGACTCTGGATTTGAGTCAGAGGCTAGCGGAATGTTTGTCTGTTTTTCCTGCACAATTGAAGTCAAAATCTTACTACCAATATGAGCCTTCACAACCCTCATCTCCAAATCTCCATGATCTATTACATAGTCTTTGTCATTCAGAGTTTCTTCATCAATGTTTAAAATTCTTGTTTTAATTGACTTTTCATTTTCTGCGTAGCGTTGGCATTTGCGTTTATCGGCTTTACGGCGATTCTGCTTCTGCTTTCTTGACTTTCTTTTGAGAGCATTTCCTCGGCGAGGGAAAATTCTTTCAACTCGTTGTTTAGCCTTTTGTAGTATCTCCAAAGTAAAATACAAGCAAAATGTCGAAAAATGTTCTGAAGTTTCTATGGCATGGAGCATACCATGTAGTAGTGAGGGGAGGGTCACACTAAACCTAAAAGTAGGGGGGTCAAGAGTTTTTTAATCAAAACATGAGGGAGGGCCAACACTTTCTTTTGGAAAAAATTCCAAAATTCCCCAGCCCCCCCCCCCAAGAAAAAACGTACCTTCCCTTACAGTTGTAAGTCTCAAAAACATTACACAGAAATATCAATATCACAGTCTTGCTATTAGTCTCTAGAATGACCATAATTTCCCCACATACCTTATCTACAAACTTAAAGTGGATCAATTCTAATGTAGACTACTCTAAATATTGAATCATATTATTTATTTTGAAGTGCAATTTTCCAATGAATTTGAGGGGCTTTGTTGGAAAATTGAATACTACAGAAAGAGATATCACCATAGTTAAAAATTGTTGATGTGAAAACTTTAAGGATTTCATTGGCACCGCAATTAGTCCTCAAAATAAGATGTTTGAAATTAAAACAAATTGACATGCATCACTCATGCATGTCAGTTTTGTATACTTACCTTTTGATATCTACAGGACCTGCATTGATAGCAGTTTTTTTTTTTTTTTTTTTTTTTTTTCTTAAAACTGAAGCAGCAATCCTGCATAAATATGTTTGTATTATTATTATTATTATTATTATTATCACTTTTGTTATATTAATTACTGAAACTAATTCAAGCCACCTCCAACCAGGCTCGCAAACAAAGAAATTTCATTCTGTGGACTTTGCCTATGCATAAATTAAGAAATGATATCGAGTAATTGCATCATCCCTACTCTTAGCTTTCCAAAATCTTTCTTTGTAATTATTACCTCCCAATAAAAACGGACAGAAAGTATTGGCTTACCGTGATATTTAAGGGAAACATCACTTCTCGATCCTTTGGCATCAATCGGTTCTTGATCATTAAATTTTTTATCAATGAAAGTCCTCAAGGCCTCTACCCACTGATAAATTATAATCTGACCTTGATGTTCTCGGTAAATGGTATATAACAAGTCTGAGGCTTCAAACATATCAGCATCACTCATCCAGGCGGAATGAATTTCGAATACAGGGGGAACCCGGTCTGGGTATTGTGGCGGTAAAAGGACTTGCAGAGTAGCTGACCACCAGGAATCACTTTGATGGCTAATGCGGATTTCATAGATTCTGTTAGCTTCGTCGATGACAATAAAATCTTGATCATAAATAGCTATTAACGCTTCGATTTCTTCAGCTTGTTCGGCTGAAGTCTCCATTATATTCAAGGATTTCCCGTACTAACAGTAATTTTTGACGGCTGCGTCTGTCTCTGGATAAGGCTTTTTCTGAGTTTATTTGACGAATGATCAATTGTCATTGAAATATCCCCAACCAACAAGTAAGTGTTGCACACCAGCGGTCCGCTGATGAACGTCCGGCAACGTGGCGAGTTAACGATGGCGCGTTCGCTGGCGTCTGAGAGGACAGTAACATAGTTTGGCCCCTTGTTATTATTCGGTGGTTATACCGCTGAAAAGAAGCCAAATTTTCGTGGGCTCAGGATTGAAATCAGCCAAAATGGAAACCACTGTGCTTCTCACCAGCGGTTTTTTGGTTTGTAACTTGGATCTTGAGGTGTACCTAGAACATGGCGAATACTCCATTTTACAGAGTTCTTGGCATATGGAGTGTTGTTCTTCTTTTTTTAATCTTCTTAGTCATTCGACTGGATAAAGAAACAGACTGGTTCTGGTTCATCATCTTCATACCATTTCTGATCTTTGATTGCTTAGTGATTTTTTACATTATGCTTCGAATTTGTCGTCACTTAAAAGATGGCGTAGACCCGAATCGTTTTACCATCGCAAGGAAGTTTTGGTTCTTGTTCCTGGTTGCTGCAAAACTTAGTTTTATTATTATACTGTGTTGCAGACTTGAGGATATCATAACTGCATCGTATTTCGTGGTGTTTATTCCTCTATGGATATTCCTATTGGGCCTCGGTTGTGATGCTTCTGTGTGGGTTTGGGTTTTAGCGAATGCCAGAGGATGATAAAGATTAGATAAGAGATTTGGTGACGGTCAAGATGAAGATAACATTAGTGTTCTCAGTACGTTATCTAGATAAAGAAGGCATCATATATGCCATGTCATCGGCAAGTTCGCCCGCAAGCGACCTCAAGAACAACAACAGGATTGTCAATAACGAAACCATGGCGAGGATCTCTATTTTACTTTAAATAAAGAAACTCTTGTGAGTTTTGACTAAATTGGCAATTGTACAGAACCTTTTTGTAAGGGGTCAATTAAACAAGAATACTTTCAATCTGCTATTTAAGATACAAACGGATCGGGAATTTCTCAGAACTTTCGTGCCACTGAGACATGGACTCCGTCTCCTCATCATGAAAATAACATCAAATGAGGCTAAAATAATGATTTGAAAAGTTACCTTTCGATTTCATTAGATATAGCCTCACACTAGACAGATTCTATAGACTCATGCCTCTCCAAATAAGGTGCCAAACAACAAGACCCATGAGAGAAACTGGGGAAAATCCTCTTACAAGCGGGATTGTCATTATGCTCAAAAATACTTGTATTGATACAAATAATCATTATGAATAAGCTTTGAAATACATATTGAAAAGATGAATGATAATTTTTAGGGGTCTACAGAGCCATTTGTTAGTTAAGAGTTGAGAGTTGCTTCATGTGTGCATATAACAAAGTATTGGTTTGGCTTTGTTTTGTGATAATTTTCAAATTGTGTCATAGTTGTCCATTTGATGGCTTTTACAGAACTGAGTTCCAGTATCTTAACCATGTATGTAAGTCTCTTCCATGGCTATGAAAGTCTCTTCCATGGCTATGAAAGTCTCTTCCATGGCTATGACTAAGAACAAAGACTTTCTCAGTTAGAGACAATCCTACATGTGTCTGTTGATAACATCTTTCACCCATACCTCCCTTGGCTAAATAAGAGAAAATGAAAACACAAACATTCTACATGCATGGGGGAGCTACTCAAGTTTTAAACTGATGGAATACTAAGGAGGTGTTATTGATTTTTTTAAGGATTGTGATATTTTGATAGGAAAAGGAAATTTACCATATCTCCTCTTCCATCACTGAATCCAAGTATATTTGGACAACCCCCCCCCCCCACTCCTCAGTGATAGACTACTGGTAATGCCTAATTCTGAGCACCCATGAAGGTAGGTATTAAAGAGATAATTTGGTTTATAATGTAAATAAACCATTGTGAGGAGCTTCTACAGCTGTAGTGTCAAGCATTAGCCCTTCATCAGTCTCATAAAGATTTTATAGGCTCTAAAGTTTTCAAAATGAGGTGTTTAACTGACTTTGATGCTGCGTTTATTTCAGATGTTTGATGACATGACAGGACTCTTTGCGGGTCAACATGTCACCCTAGTGAGGTTTCGGGAACCTGAAGACGCAGTCAGGGTGGGAAGCGGAATTGCTCAGGATCTCAAGATGGCGGACGGAGCAACACAAGAAGAGGCGTTTGAAGAATGGCTTAGCTCTCGTATGAAACAGTTAGGCCTAGATGAAGACGTATTTGGAAGCTATATCACAGGAGTACTAGATTCTGAGGATACGGACGAAGATCGCAAAGACGCACTCAAGGGTATTTTAGACGGAATGACGGTAAGAAATACTCAGTGAGGTGCGTGAGGCACGTGTATGGGGAACTTCAACCATCAATTTAGCCCGACCTTATTGGTATCTATCATCTTACGGGAATCTTTGTTTTAAATTGGAGATTATGTAGCTGCCATTCTTGGGTACGGCGAGATCTTTCTGTTGTTTTTCAAAATTCTTGTGACTATTTAATAGATTTCCAGCTTTGTGAAAACATTTTGAAATTGCAGCAATATCCTCTGAACGACCTCTGCAATGAAGTCATTGAAAGATGGAGAACATCAAGGGCAGAAGTGTTACAGGAAAAGGAACTCGAGAAAGGTACTAATGAAAAACAACCAGGCAATCATTTTGGCAAACAAGTGGAGTAACTTCGAAATATGAATTAATAATAATCAACATGAAATGACTGTTCCTTAGGAAAACAATTAATTTTGTTTGAGATTTAAAAGACCATCCACTAGTCGATTTCTTATGTATTAACAAAAAGACTGCAAAAGATGAACAAAGATGAAAGTGAAGACAAATCAATAACTTCTTCGAAGTAACTGTCACACAGATCATCATAAGCTTATAACTCTAAAATAGATCAGATAAATATTTTGTTCAAAGTAACTGACCCACAAAAATTGCTGCAATATTAGCCAGCCAAAGGGTTCAAGCGAAGAAAGTGGTGGAGTAGTTTCTACATTACTGAGGGATTGTCCCCTATCATTCACTTCCTCACTTACTCTTTGATTGTTTTGAACAAGCAATCTGACATCCTCTATGTTTTAATGAAAATGCAGTAATTGAATTTTGATGATCTTACATAACTGCTATTCAATTGATAAAATCTTGAACGAGGTACATGTTGTTTGTCAATGAGGTACATGAAGTTTGGATGTAAAATCTTATTTACACTTCATCTACAAACAGAACAGAAAGCAACAGCAAAACAGAACAGACTTGCTGAAATAATGGAGAAACAAGCCTCAACAGTGTCTTCAAGAAAATCCACCCAGGCTGATGCTGACAGGGAAGTTAAGAAGCTCTTGCTTGCTCAGTATGGACATGAATCAGATGAAGACTACTGATATCCTTTTTGTTTCTGTTTTAACATGTGTGAGATGTACATCATGTTTCTTCTAATCAATGTATGCTTGAATGTCACTTTTATCAGAGAAAATGGTGGAAAAGGAAGGCCTCAAATCATGCTTTCAGGAAATATGATCCAATGGTTTGTGAAAATTTGCCAGTCAAAGAATTTTTGATTAAAAATGGAGTATTGATTTATAGTTATTCAAGCTTGCATTAAGAGGTTATGTCATTATAGTGCTATGAAATACTAAACATCTCAGTCAGGTATGAACCATGTCACTATAGTCCTTTCTGATGTTTTATTTGCAGTTGGCCCTTCTGTATCTCTTATTTCCGTATTGTATTTGACATGTTTTTCACACTATTCATTTTTTTCTATTATGCTAATATGTTTAAGAATTTGATCAAAGAAACTTCATGTTGTTCACTAATATTTGGCTCTTGAAATTTATAATGGAACTAACTAATTATTTGCAGTGAAAATTTTTGCCCAGAGTATTGATAGTAAAATTAAACGATATAAAATTATTATTTGTTGGATGTTACTCATTAGACATCCTTAACCTTTTACCACTACTGAGAGTGATGATGAACAAGCTTCATGTTCTTCTGCTGAGAAGGATTTAGGTTTGTATCAACAGCTCTTTGATTCTCAAACACTGATAATTTACATTTTTTATCTTTAAATCTGGTGGAGTAATCTGGAGCCAAGGGATGGATTTTAAAAGTTATATTGCTGGATTAGTGAGATACACTTTTTCTATTTCTATCAACTTCTAGATAATTGGCATGGTTAGATTCATCTCCATACATGGATGAACAAAATTTGTTTCTGTTTTTGCTTCTTTTAAAAATCCTCCTTTACCTAATATCCTCTCTGTTTTACTATGGTATATTTGGGTTAAACCATAAGTTTGTGGACTCCAATTATGTCTTTGCTTGCCTTTGTGTTAATAATTTAAGACTAAGTTGGATGTTGATCACTTCTGACTGTCAAGGTATTAATTTATTATTCACTAAGAGCACCTGAGTTTGTAAAGACAGCAAGGGTCAACTTGCCCACCAGCTGGGCATCAGTGATCAAATAACTGATGAAGAACATGTTTAAAGATTTAAAAATGTCATTGCACATGAGTATTATAGAGCAATATTTGAACAGTGCCTTGCAACTTCTCTAAATTAACAGGAATGGTAAAAAATATGAATGCACAATCTGTAGCAGATAAAGAGAAAGACAAGAGAGATAAGATGAAGGAAGAAAGTGAACAGAGAAAACAACAGATAAAAGAAGCAAAGGAGAAGCAAAAACAAAAAGCAGATGAGAGGAAAGAAAAGGAAAGGAAAAGAACTCAGAAAGGAGAAAGACGAACCAGATGACACATAATGGTACAAGAATAATGAAAAAACTTTTTTTGCAGAGTTCTTGTGTCGAGATGGATACAGATAAAGCACAGCTTTTTGTTCTTTAAAAAATTTTTTTTCCACTTCAAATTGTGTGAAAAGTTTAATTTGTTAATGCCAATTTGCTTTTGGTTGGGGTTTATGAGAGGAGAAGACTATTCACTTTTCAGCTTTTTTCTATTTATATCAAAAGTTGTAATTTATTATTCACAGATTAGAAGGAAAAGGCAAATTAATGTTATAAAAAGGGATGATGTAGGCAAAGTAATGACACTGTAAAACATGAAGAAAAAGAGATATTAAAGATATTTTTTCTTATTCAATAAGTGGACCATAACTAGTTTGAGGATGGTTTAATAATTGATGCAGACTGCAAGCATGTGTTATTTTACTCCCTTTTCTTAGGAGACTCAATGCAAAATATAAAAATTACCTTTCGCTGGAATTCCAAATAAAGTAAATTATTTCAAATAAGAACTCATGAAAATGTTGGGTTGGATGTATGATAGAATTTAGTTGCAACATGAAATTGATATCATAAAATTCAAGCCTTTATTTGGGTTTAAATCAGTGACCTCAATTTTACCTTTGATGTGTCTTTTCAGCAACTTAAGTATGGGGCTAGTGCACAACCAATGTGTCAGTAATTCACATTGAAGCCCACTCTGGTTTGTAATCAGGCTTACCTCCATGATCGTTCTCAAGGGAGAAAGATGTGCATATATGTTAATGCTAAAATCAGAAAAAAAATGTATGTTTTTTGGTTCTAGCTAGGGTTGACAATAGAGTACACATCAGACAGCAATGCTCTCAATTTGTGTTCATTAAAGTACTTTCAGGCAGATCTCAACCTCACCAGTATTATTAGCTCATTAGCAATAAGATGATCAGCTCACTTTGGAATCTGACCATTTTTTATCTAGTTTCTCCTTTCTTTCCATCTTTTCTAGAGTCAGGTCATTCACCAGTAATCTCTACCTTGCCATTATCTTTTTTACGGAATAGTCAAATCTAGGGTATCTGAAAAATTAACTGGCTGGAGGAATCCCCTGTCATTTGCAGGTAGGTGTGTGCAGTGGTAACTTTGATGTCCACGGCCCATTTATGCCCAAACAAAACCATACCTTGTGCCAGATTTGATATAAATTTTGCAGATTACCACCATTACTCCCCAAATCAATGCCACTAATGCTCATTAAGTATCACCTTATTGACAAAATTATGATAAAAGGTGCGACACAATTTGAACGGTAAAATATTTTGATAACTTTGATCAATGAAGTGCCATTAGACCAAAATCCCTTGATACTGTAATACATAATACATCACGGACAAACATCCCACCCGACCCGCGGAATAGCTATTTAGTGCACGAGAACGAGTCTGACGAGCCAAAGCGAGGTTTAATGCCCTTTGCGTGTCTTTTCGAAATTTCAACATGGCCGTGACAATACCTAATTTCCTTAACTTTTTTCGAATAGTCAGTGGAACTAATATTGTAAAATACGTTTATTTGTTGATGAGCATAGCTTCTTTGCTATGTGGTCGTTCACAAGGAGATTCTAGAGGTAAGTAAGTAGACAAAATAATTTAAAAAACAGAACAGGTTGAAACCATTTTAACTCAGAATTTATGATGAAGCTGTTTGATTTTTCTTCCAGAATTTAAATATATTACTTGTGGGAGTGTTTTAAAGCTAGTCAATCCAAAGCACAATGTTAGACTCCATTCCCATGAAGTTAAGTATGGCTCTGGAAGCGGACAACAGGTAGGATTGAGCGTACGTTCTGCGTCAGCTGGAGCGAATGTGATGATCTCCCTTCTTGAAAATATCCTCAGCATGTTTTGCTGTGATGTTCCTCTGTTAATTTTATGGCAGAATGTTTGGAAAGACAGCAGATAGTGTACACTCAAAATAAAATGTGTCCAAGCTGCTGTAACATCCCTGTCGTTGTGATCGATAATTTCTAGTTTTTTTCCAAGTTCGCTTTCAATGCCCAAAACAAAGTACAATTGATGAGCTTACTGTTGGTATTCATCGAAAAAATTGGACCGACAGATAAGGGATAGTTTCCCCCAGACATACCTAGATTTATGTCACGATTTTTATTTAAGTGTATTATATAGAAAGAGACTCTGGATAGCGGGAGAGGACGCCTTGCGTTACTTCTTGTCTTCAGGCGTTAATTTTAATGAGATGCACTGTGCGTGGACGCTTCTGATTTGTGTTTGGTTTTCCGGTTTCCAACCTGTTGAAATACCCATGTTAAGCGGAAGACTGGTTTTTTTAAAAAATTACTCACCGAACCAAGGGTTAGCATCGAATTTTGACGTAGTTTTGTAGCTTTGAAGTAGAGACTACTATTCGTTGTGACCAAAAGCCCTGCTGTCCTGCACGGTCTTAAAGGGAAAAAATAACAAATTTCCTTTCACAAGTTCGTCTAAAGTTCTTGAAAGTATCAGTGTTTGGTTGGAAATTACATTCTATTTTAAAAATTATGTAGCCTTTCTACACCCTAATCACTTATCCTTTTTTCCGCATGGGGTTCAAAATCACCTTCAATGGAACCCTAATTTTCCACTCCTAGTGGGCTGGCTCTATTAGATCTCTCATTAATGGGGTTTTTTAAATGCTGCTGCAGTATCACTTCCCTTAATTTTTTTCCTCACGTAGGTATGACAAGACAGACGATTGTAGACAGCATCTCTATAGTATACATTTGACTAAGAATTTCTGCTGATTAAACAAAATATTGCTACTTTTAGTCTGTTACAGGAGTGGACAGTGCAGATGATGGAAACAGCTACTGGGTTGTGAGAGGGAAAATGGATTCTCCTTGCAAAAGAGGGTAAGTACCAAAGTAACCTACTCTAAGCATTCAGTCATTATAGTTAACAGTGGTGTAATGGCATAATTAGAGATCATGATGCAAAGCAGGGAGAAAAGGATGGTAGATGGGAAAGAGCAGCAGAAAGAGAAACATTCTCTTAAACTTATCAACAATTACAGATTTCACTAGACTTAATCTGGTGATATACCCTTGGACTGGTTAATTATTGTGACATGTCAACAGAAATACTTGTACAGTCAAAGTAATGAAAGTCTTAAATCTGTACTTTTAAGAGGAAATGAAAGATATTCATTTTTATTTTTCCAGGACTCCTGTTAAGTGTGGCAGCACAATAAGATTACAACACCTGGCCACTAAACGCAATCTTCACAGTCATCACTTTCAGTCACCAATTTCTCATAACCAGGAAGTGAGTGCATTTGGTGAAAATGGAGATGGGGATGATTTGGACAACTGGTCTGTTATTTGTCCTTCAAAGTTTTGGGAACGACAGGATAAAATTAGGTTCAAGCATTCAGCTACTAAAGTGTAAGTGCAGAACCTCTGATGTTCACAGTAAGCAAGATGAAGCTCCCTGGGAAAAGGGATAGTTTTCAAGTACCTTTTCCCATGTTAGCTTTATGAGCATATTTTCTGTTGTCAAATATTGGTTAAACCAAGGGCAAAAAACCTGGTTTTCCTCAATCTTTGAAGGTTGGAAAAACCACCAACCCTTGTCACTTCTGTCAAGATATTGTGTGTTTTTGTTTTTTTTTTCATCTGAACATTCACAAGTCTTTTTTTCCCTTCTTGGTCATGACCTTGCATTGATATTCAACTGAGAACTTTTTCCCTTCAGAAAACCACATCACTCCCTCCCAGATGATGTCTGCCTCAAAAGGATTATTAGGAAGCTCACACCCCGTGTAGATTATAACAGTGTGAAAATTAAGTCACTTTTGTGGAAATACCTTCTCTTCAAGAACTGGCATATTTGAAAATGTTCAATTTTTAAAATTTTTTTTTGGGAAGGGGGATGTAAGTTTACATACCTAGTTAGTAACCTTAATTTTACTGAAAACAATTTGCAACTTGGAGTAACCTCAAGGGTTATAACTTTTAAGCTTTTGGGCGAAGACTGATTCAAGCGTGTTCCTTTACTTTTCTTCTTAGACAGTTAGTTATTTGTTTGTTTTTGTTTTCTCTCTTTAGTTATCTGCATGTAACTGGAGACCAGTTTGGCCGGCCCATCAGTGGTCAAAAGGAAATTAGTGGTTATAGTTATCCTGAAACAGGAAATGAATGGAAGGCAACGGTCAGTACTGGTGTCTTACTTCATTCTGTTATTTGCCTAACTTTATGTTCAGGAAATTATCATTTCGAGGAAACAACAAACATGGTAAACTTGTGGTGTTATTCATTTCTTTTTCTGCAAAACTATCTAATCTTATTATGTCCACGGCTAGTAAACATTTTAGGTTTCTTTAATCTACCCTGTCATTAATTTTTGGGGTTTAGTTTTATGTTGCTTGTTAAGTGATTGTAATCTTGTCCAGTGGCTTGGTGTAATGACCTGTTCTTTTTTCTTTTAGGAGGGCATTTATGTCAAACCCACCAATTGATTGTAGACCTGATAGAACCCAGATTTTGCACTAAGTTGTACATTTGAACAGTTCTGGGACAGTATAACAGTGCTATTTTCTAAAATTCTGGCATGGACCACAAGGATTTTGATAAAGAATTGTTAGAAAAGCTTTGTGCGAGGAATTACATGGAATTGTTTATTAAAGAGCTGCTACAAAAAGATTTGTATCTATGAGCTTTCTTGTCCCTGCTGGATTTCAGACTCAGATGCCAGAAACCCAGATGAGGTAGTCAGTAACATGCCCTTCCCTGCATTTACATATACATGTGGAATGGACAAAAAAATCAAGAAAAATAATGCATTGATGTATTTGGCAAAATTATCGCGATTTGTACATACTTATTTGTATCAGAATCACGAGTCAGAATTTCTCTTTACTTTGTATGGCTCTTGGAGAAAATGCAAAGGTGGTAACCTTTTTTTATATTGAATTATTGAATATAAAAGTCATTCAGCAGTACTGATTAAATCTGTCTACGTTTCATTCCTGCGAGTTTCAATCTTGAAGATATGAGTCTCAAAAATAAACCAATCAGACAATCTTGCTGAACAAATGGTAAATGACGTCATCATACATAAGAGCTATTCAAAAAGGGGTACTCAGAAAGAGAAACAGAAACACTTTTTAAAAAAATACAGTACTTAAAATATGTAGTTTGTTGTAAAATCGTCCTCTTGCTTGACATCAGAAGGTCGTGAAAGATTGAAACATCTCAATGGGATAAAGATTTCAGCTTGTACCAAAACTCTCAGCTTCAGACAGCCGCTGACCTGTGTGCTGGTGAACGTTGTGTTGTAGAAAATTAAACAGGTGTAAACTGGTCCTGGGTTGTCAAACTCAATACAGTATGGCTGAGGTGCTTTTTCTGCCAAGTGTTCGAAAGAAATCAGTTAATCAAGGGCTCGGGTGATCAGGGAGATACTTGTGTACATGTGATACCGTTCCTAGATCGAGATAACCTGATAATTTATAAAAACAAAACCTGTCACACCTAAACCCCTCCGAGTAACATACCGGTTTACGACCACATCATCCCAATGGAAATTTCTACCTATGTCCTTTGAGAAGCAATCGGCTTTGCATACGTGGATACAGCTACATTAGTTACCAAACATTTAAAAAAGCTTCCATGTTGGTGTACCAAGTCAGTCCTTTGAAGTTTGAACTCTTTCCTCATATTGACTGTTCTCTAGTTCCGATAAATTTTCATACGACATAAATGAAAACCCTAAATCAAGGGGTGTTTACTGGATTGCAAAGATAAAAAAAATTATTCCTACCAAATTTAGCCTTAACAATATCATCATAAGAAACTCTGTACCTGAGTACGTATCAGTAAGGCGTGACTTTCCATCTGCAGACAAGGTGAATGGTATAACCTAATTCGAGCAAAACTCAACGTTCAATTCCTAAAAGTGTCAGGTTCATTAAGCAATACAGGGAAATTAAATTCAGTGTTAGCAGTGAAAAACTGAGTTTCTTACATTCTGTGTATCCACGCTTGACACATTCACACAAACTGGGAAAATAAGAATGAGTTTTTTTAGACCCAGCTAATAATTTCGTAGTACTGTTTTAGTCCATAACCTGTGTAGACTAGTGTAATGGGTGAAAAAGCAATGGAATGCAATCTCCCATGGACGTAATCCCCGTCATAAGTTACTCTTCTACTGAAACAGCTGCGCCTTGGAGACACGACAGCGCGTGATCGATAGAAGACCCTTCAAAATGTATATGCAATCAGTGCTGTTTTTTTGTCTTTACTGAAATTTCTAATAAGTGCATTTGAAATTTCTTACCTAACTCACTAAAGCGGTAGACAGAGATGGGTTGACAACAATAAAACGACGAATTGCCACTGACACATTCACAGCCATCAAAATTTGGATTATTCGCTGCAACTGGATCTACAAAAACAAAATAGAAGTTAGTCATGGAAGGGTTGATGATCAAGGCAAGTACGGGGAAACAAAAAAAGGTTTCTCTAACCAACAGATTTCAGTGTGAAACTTGCCACCAAAGGAACAAGTACAGTGACCACGGATAAAGGAAATGTCACTTTCAGCAAACACATTAAGAAGATTTCTCAAAACAGTAAGGTAAGAAAATAATATGTCGCTAACCAGACAAAAAATGACCTTCAACAGATATTTGATAGTCACTTTCGCTTTCCGTGCGTCATTTCCGGCTGTTTTGTAGGACAACAGGAGGGGGGAGCAGTTCTCCAATAAATTAAATAGCAAGGAGTAAGGCCTCCAGATTCAAAAGAAGAGAGAGCAATTCATTTCATGTCATGCAAATGATAATCATCAGTACAGGAAGTACTTTACAACAAGGCGGCAAGTGATGGAGTTATTTGTCTACTTTTTTTATCTCTATGATTTCGCCTTTATTCTAAATCTGTGTAAATTTCGTACACCTATGCCTTCGTGTACATTTATTGAGTGTGACATGTTCAAACAGGTGCCAATCAAAGAGACCTTATTGCAAAGGTAAGGGTAAGAGGGTTAAGTAACTGGAACCGTGGAGACGGTGTTCAATCCAAAGGACGGCTTTACAGAAAGGACGATAGTTTTATTGCAGTCAGATCTTCTATTTGCTTATCTACCTCGAAGACTGAAATGTAATCCGATCTGTTTGAAGGTTGCAACTTTTATTTAGATATTAACTTTAAGCCGCTGTGACACCGCCATCATGAAAACACAAATTAACGTGTATATATGGAGCCTTTCTTTTTTATTGTTAAAAGAGCCTCATCACTTCCTTCCTTATTCAGTTTTCTTATTGCTTTAATCCACTTTACTTGCATTTATAATGAATGGTAAAGTATAGCAAACTGCCAAGAATCTCATTACCGATTACAATATCATTCTGTCAATCACACAGACATTTACTTGTTTGGTTCGGTAAGTCTTTAATTCTAGTCCTCATCAGAATTTTCAATCACACGATTGTTGAAAAGGAAATCAAATGGATTTTTTTTCTTTTGAGGCGACTTAGTTGTGTCTTTGCCAAGCATTTTTAGGAGCCACTGCCGAGTCTTGTTTAACATTTGATCCTTTGACTTATTAGAGCCGGCAAAGTGTAACAGCGAGTTTCCCTCCTTGTCCGAAGCCCTCCACTGCTCCTGGCCTTCCTGGGTTGGCAGATTGAAGCAGCCAAAGTCAAGATTAAAGAGTGGTACAAGGAGATCAGCATATATCTTCAGGCATCCTCCCCACTTTCCCTCATCACCGTATGAGATGTTGTAATACTGAAGGCAGATGCACGACAGTGGACAAACCCCTTGACAAAAAGGAGGTGGATTTCTCGCTGAAAAAAAAATTTGAAAAATATATATAACCAGGGATTAGGAAGTGACTTTTGCCTCTAGTAACCTTACACGTCTATGAACTTTCTTATTAAGCTCTCTTTGCAGAGGAATATGGAGGCGTTACCATACAACTGTCGACCCTTTTATCATCAGAACCGAATGATTTTGAATATGCATCCTTTTTTAGTATCAATGTATTGTCAAGCGAACAGGTAAGGAAAATTTAACAAAAACACAGCGCAAGGGGTTTATTTTGTTCAGTAACCCAAATTCTCTTGATTGACGAACATGAAAATGTATACCTTACCTGAGAGAGTTTCGTTGAACAGAACCTTGTCATCTAAAGTCCCCGTAAATCGTATCGCCTAAGAAATAAACATTCAGTCAATCACCAGAAAAAAACACATATGCCGAGCCTGACTTAGCACGGAGACTCTAAATATTCGGATAAATATTGAAATCAGTTGAGCGAGCTGGTCTACAGTTTGTTGATCAAGTTGGTAGAGGACGAGCGAATTTCTTTCAACTCTTTAAATGGACATTTAGTGTTTCTAATTTCTCCACTAGTTCTACAGGTTGTCTCGCAAACAGAGTGAATCTATAACGATTATCATGACTCACTTTCTCCTCCACTTGAAATGTCATGTTCATACAGGCTACAAAAAGAACACAACACACTTCATCAATGACTACACTTTTCTGCAAGTAAGAAATCCTAAACGAAATATCTCCTCTAGTCATCTTCTCTCGGAGTGAACTCTACCAGGTGTTTTTAATAAACTTTTCAATCCCCTCGGTAAGATTGCTGATGAAAGTTTTCAGACGTAAAACTAAATTCTCAGTCAGAAGTCTTGACAAGCACCAGTAAATATTCTGTGGCAGATCAGCGGTGGGTGGAGAATTTAATGATAGATGATGATAACACTTTTATGTAAATTTGAACTCGAACCCATAACTGACCTGCGAAAATCAGTATTAAGGCATTTTCATACTTATCTTAATTGGTTTAAAAGAGACTCACATTTCGTTTACCCCATTCTTTCTTTCTGTTTTATTAACCTTTACATGGCTAACATTAACATGCATATTCTCCATACTGTTCTCTCAACATTTCCTAAGGTATTTACATTGAGAAATCGCTCAACAACCAAGAACTTCTTTAGTTGGTGATAATTTCCTTTATTCTCGTGACCTTAATGTTTTATTAAGGGTTATATGGTTCGAACAACTTAGATCCCAGTCACTCTTACGATTCACAGAGTTAAGGTCTATTGACTCCTACCTGTGTGCTCCTTGTGATCAAAATCAAATTTTGTGCAGCAGCCACACTGTGCAGTCGGTTCTTTAGTGCATCCACAATCACCATCATCGACAAAATCTGGTTCTGCAGAAAAAGAGTTCATTCCACCATTAATGAGCATTAAGCAGGGGAATGGGCAGTTATCACCGGCTGAAGAGACTGGGGACTGAGATTAAATTAACCTTTGAAAAGAGAAGGGCTGAAGGACTCTGTCACTCTCTTCCTTTCATCCGTAATATCAGGTTACAATGGCTTGTAATTTTTCTTGTCTTGTATCAAAGGTTTCTCCTTGGCGAAAAACAACATAAAATGAAATGGACTATGTGAGAATGGAAGCTAAGATTTAGACTATGCCAGCCAAATACTTCTCGTTCGTCTCAAAGCGCATTTAACTGTCTGGGCGAACACTCATTTGTTCCTACGACTAATTCAATACTACATAGCCATGTAATCACTTCTCGTAAAATCACAGACAATCTGGCATGCTTACCTCGTGCTTTCAACTGATCGACTTCAAGCAAACTTGACTGGGCAATTCCAGTCAGGAAAAATGCGAGCAACCAAGACATGAACATCTTGACAGTAAATCTCTACAACGACCAACGCATTTGGCAGGTCACGCGCTTCAATCTCATTTATATGACCGTCTGGTATTACACTTTGTGTGGATTCGAATTACATAACATATAGGGGTGGGGGAATGTGCTGTGCACCACTGTGGAAGGTTTTAATCTCAAAATACACGTGATCCAGGTTTTCAAATATAAACGGCGATATGGCATTAAAAAAGAGAGTTCTGCTTCAAAATAATAGAGGGTTCAACTTCTGAAAAGCCTTGTGTTCACGTCAAAATGTGTCTCCCTTCAAACCGATGAATTATAACAATCTCAGCAGGAGAGTGCTCAACCATCGCGGGCCAAATTATTTTGATAAACAAGGTTCAAGTGACAGATTTTCTTGTATTTCCTTTAAATAACACAAAACCGTCTTTCAAGATCACATGGTAGGGATTTTATTCCCTTGGGAAACGGGTAAGGGCACGTCAACACGCAAGCCGTGCGGGTAAAATGTTATCTGTACAGAGATTCCAAGAAGGTCAAAGTAAGACTTAAGACGGCTCACAGAGCACTACCAAAGTTGGGGAGCTCAACTGATATAAACAAGAATGCTGTTGAATAGTTTAAACTCTTGTGGTTTTGATTTGTTATTTTGCCATCCCTAAAAGCGTGACAAGTTGTTTCGAAATTCAGTTGAAATGTTTGCTTGGATGGGTCTAACTGAGATTCGATTCCTTATCAATATGAAATTTGAAAGAACGTAAACAGTTTGTTTCTCCTCAGTCACATGATGCGACATGATCCAAAGGGTAAGTGTTAAATGAAGAATGAAAAATCGAGACAACTGTCTACTAAAAACCTTCCTTGGGCGATTTCATGACAGGAAAAAATTTCGCTATGACGTCAAAGATATCATTTAACTTTTAAGTGACTCCAAGAGATAAAATCAACTGCTCTTTTTCTTGATATTGCGAAAACAGAAGCGAATGTTATTGGTTTGCCTGTGTCCTGCTTTTACGGAGCTTGATCCCAAACAGATGAAATATCCTAGAAGATTTCTTGATTTCAAGACATCCACTGGTTTCCGTACAAGAATTTACAGCTGAGAAGGCATGCTTGTTGGTTCAGACAATGGCTTGTCCTCCCAAAGGATTTTTCCATCACATGCACAGTACTTTTTGGTGTTCTGGAAAAGTCCAGCTGATCTGGCGATGATTCCACAAGATAATCTGTAAAAGATTTTTTTAGAAACACATTTTAATAAGTGGTCGCCAAGTTGTTCTAGGGGCTCGCTCAGATGACTTTGTTGGGAGTTAGGTTCGTACAAGGGGGACAATCTCGGGAAGGAAAAAGAATCCTCCAAAACAGCAAAAGAACAAAACCGTATCTCAGTTATCCACATTCAAACATATTTCGTCAGTTACAGGACTGTACTTCAAAGCCCTTCCTTTGCTACACGATAAGATTTTAAACTTCCTATCGCTAAATAAAGAAATTGGTTCTTGAAGGAGGGTCTACAACGAGTTCCCGATATTGTTTGTCAAAATGAGCCAAAGAGGGCAGCTTATACGACCATGTTATGTGAAGAGTTGAGGAATTTCAAAATCATTTTTGTAACGTCGACTTACAGGAACTAACGAAAGCGTAAAACTTCGATGTAAAAAGACTCCAAGAAAAGAACGCTCACATTCCGACCGAGACCGCGGCTGATCAAAATGCGAATTCGTTTGAGATCTTAGATCTGAACGCCCCTGTTCTTTTCAGTTACTGCCAGGAAACAACATAAAATAAAATAAGTGTAAGAACCTGGAATCTAAGTTTGCAGACTCTTTCGGTACAAGTCTTACCCAGGGCCAGAATTTCCAGTTATCTTCGACAATTCATTGGTGCCACGCCCAAGGTCATCTTCACCGTGATGTACGACAAGTGAGCGGCCGATTACATCCCAAACCTGCAGGGAAGGACAAAATAAATGATTAAACTGCTCTTACTGTAGAACAACAACCCCCGTTTACGCTATAATACCTCGAAGTAACGCCACATTGCTTGTACGTTAGTGTTTCCAAATCCTAGATAAACCTTGAAAATGTTGAATAATTTTTTGGACTGAAACCATGCTAATTTTTACAATTTACTGAAAATGACCTCAGAGAGGTCGAAACGTCGTTCTGTCTTAAAAGCTAATTTGTAATACAAAAATCTACATCAAAGAGACGTCAATATAAAACCTTGAAATCTCAAAATTTTTGAACTTCCCACACATAAATCATATGTGCATGTAATAATAATATCAACCAAGCAGATTTATCATAACAGCTCCCAGATGATAACTGATCAACCCTTTAATCCCTCAGAGTGACTAGCATCTAATTCTCCTTACAATATCACCCTCAATCAAACATTAAGGTCACAAGTAAAAAGGAAATGATCACCACCTAAGAGAAGCTCTTGATTGTTAGACAAATAATCTCCTTGTCAGCACCTTAAGAAATGTTCCCAGAACAGTATGGAGAATATGCATATTAATATCAGGGTGTTGAGGGTCAAAAAGATTTCATATTCATTTAACCTGAGAATGCGCATGTTTAATGGCCACCTCAAAAACTGAGAAACCTGACAAAAAATGTCACTACAGGAAGCTATTAATAGTGTAAACAGACCTTGGTCCTTGTGATGATTGCACATTGTCAACTACACTGTACTGTTGTGTGGCATTTGATTGTTCATGTAATTTGCACTGTGTGTATTTAACGATTATATTTTTAAGGTTATTTTGTTTTACTATATTTTTTATGGGGTTATTTAACTTCTTTAGGACCTTTTCCCTTTTTTTTAACACAACAGAAGAAAAAGAAAGAAACTCCATATGTAGGTGACTGCAAGTGCAACAGGAATTTGAACCTACAGCTTAGTAGCAGAACTCTCTTAACTCTTATGCACACTTACCAATAAGATTAATAGGAAACAATCAACAATTTATCAGACAAGAAGAAAAAATCACAGCTGTACATAGTCTAAAAGTTTCTTACCTGATGGAGAATAAAAACATAATGTAAGAAAAGTCCAAGTGATTTACCTTGATATTTTTGTCCTCCATTCTGAAAGAGGCTCTGCCATTTTTGTCAGCTGAAATGTTGCCAAGGTCACCAACATGCTTCGATATACAAAATACAAATAAATCAGCCAACTTAATCATCCATCACTAAAAGTATGAATGACTAACTGAATTAGAGGCCTTAGTTATATGCGGTTATCAGTATCAAAGGTTGAGTTTGGGAGGGCCAACAATCAATTCTACAATACTTGAAATCAAGCCTCTGTAACTTAAGTTGGCTGCCAAGTCTTTAAGCTTAATTTATTTCTTCTTGAAATTGTACAAACTAAGAGTAATAAGATAAAATTACTGATTGGGAACAAAAGACAATGTTCCAGTGACAGGTCCCATATGTACCATCTTCCATTCACATGCTGGGTTCTCAACAACTAAGCCACCTTAGCACTTGTGGTCACCACATAACATTTACCACACCCTACAAACTGCAAAAATGGACTTTCTAAAAGTGGTTACAGAGTGAAATTTTTTTCAAAATTAGTGGCAATTATTAATGAACATACCCTCTCATTGTCCTCTCGTGCTCCATGTTGACAGTTTCTGGGATTATAATGATCACCAGTACTAAGGGGAAAGATGTATCTTTTTATCATAATTGAATAATTAAACAGGTTATCTTAAATTGTAGCAGTACTTGCACACATCCTCAGTAGAATGGTAGTCCATCACAAGTTATCCCCTGTACAGTTTTGTCAGGTTTTTCTAACAACTTAGTTACCCTTTAACCCCAAAGAGTGACTGGCTTCTAATTTCTCCTTACAGTATCACCTTTGAATCAAATATAAAGGCCATAAGAATTAAGAATGTGATCAGCAATTTCAGATCTGAAGCTCCTGATTGTTAATCAAAGTCTCCTTGTCAGTACCTTAGGAAATTTAAAGAGAACAGCATGGAGAATATGGATGTAAATGTGAGGGTGTGAATGGTTAATGTCACCTGTCTGCACTCCATAGTGAAGAGGTGTACCATAAGAGTAAAGATTTTGAATAACAACATCCAGGGCTCACACCTGGACCTTTCAACAAGAGTTCAGCTTGCAAATCATCAAGCTACCAATGCTCACTTATTATATAGTTTCCTCTTTTGACAAAACTCATGTAAATCATGAATACTGTACTCTGAATTGTACAGTTCACAAATGTCACAGATAACTTTTAACTAACCTTGCACATCCCAGAGACAGATCTCCTAATTCATGAATATTGAGCCCATGAAGTCCAGGAGAAAGTCCATCAATTGTACCATCAATCACACACAGATCCTCAGATACCTAAAAATCAGAAAATTACCAGCATAAATTGCAATCAGATGAAACTATCAGCTCTTCCTTTCCCTGTGGACATAGCATGGACAAATGGACATTCTCTGTTTGTGATAAAGAATTTGACCCTAATGGTTTTCCACCTAGTAGGACATAATTTCAATATGATATTGTATGGACCATCATCAAATAATGAGTTTCTCATGTAAATTGGAACTCATAAAAACACAAATACATTTAACAGCAATGTCATTAGGCTATGTGCTGTAAAGAACCTTTTCATCCAAAAGTGCATTAAGATACCTGAACAAATCTGGTGACACCTTTAACAATTCCACTGCGCATCTCCACAACAGCAGCTCCTAAATGCTTCAGATCTTTCCCTGTGTGGAATGAAATGATATCTGTTTGTCATAAATATCTGACAAAAAAGTTGGCAATTGATAGATTGGAATAAAAACAATAACCAACAGTATAGTGAGGATAGTAATGATGATGATAGTGAAAAAAATATATATAATAGGAAGGTGATGAGTGCAGAAGAGAAGGACAATAATAACAAGGCTGGCAATGAGCTTTGACGAGGATAAGGGGAAAGATGAGTGTGATAATGAGAAGGATAAAGTCCATGAGGAAAATAGTGATGATCATGAAGAAAGAGATGGTAAGGGTGAATAAATTGTTTGACAACTCAGTCTTGAACTTCAAATCATGTAAGTACTGTCACAGTCAAGCATCTCAACAGGGTGGTGATGATGATGATGATGATGACAATGGGGGTAGGTGGTTATAAGAGGAGACCAGGAATTTGAAGCTTGTAGTGGCGATGATGATAGGGATCATAAACAGTGTGACAGTAAGATAGTTGTGACTAAGAGACAGTTTGAGGCATGACATTAAGGAAGTTGTTTTCAGTTGATTCAGTGGGAGGACTTTCAGTAACTCAAATTCAGTAGAGAAAGGACAGGATCAACTACAGTGTACATGTTGCTGAACTTCTAGGGATGGCATGCTCTACAGTCATCACACAACTGCATAATTTTTATTGCTCAGTGTTGTGTACATATAGCCCTTGCCTGCTGGACCAAGTCCACGTAAGATGGCTGTACGTCCTGAGGTTTCTAATAGATTCTGGACTTGTCTGGTTGACAGAGTTGTCTCTAAAGTCACTTGCTCTGAGTTTGGATCCACTGTGAATGATGTGATACCTAAAAAAAAGTCATTTTCTATCAGTTAAACCACCTCATGCATTAATTTAAGCTGTCATTTCTATCATATATTCAGGGATTTTGATTGTCCTTAATATCAACACCATTCAACAAAAATGGTCGGAATATCCAGCTATCATGATAGAGTAATTAAAAGATCCATATAAATATTTTACTAGAAAACAATGTTAAGTCACATTCAATATTGAACAATTTTACCAGCACATGATTAAAAATAGCAACTGTAATTTACATATCATTAATAATCCTATAGGATAATTAGCCTCCTGCTTCCAAAAGTAGTCACAGTTCGATTAAAAGCTGTTAGGATAACCCTCTTTAGGATTGGGTACTGGTTCATCACAACAAAGTTCCAAAACTTGGTTACATGTTTTCCTGGAAGTTTCCGAGTAAACATTTTAACTACTGGGTGGGGCATGGTATGAAAGGTGTGAAGGGTCTTATACCAGAACACAGTCATTACAACTGAAGCCACCTGCATGTATGCATTGAATTACTTGAGTGAACATTACAGTCAATATCCCAAAATAAGAAAACAAAATAAACCCTTTTATTCACAACCTAGGATGATTTTAAAAAAATCAAAAAAACAATAAAAAAGACCCCAATTTTTCCACAAACTTACACACCTTCAACACCATGGAGTGAATTGCAAATTGCATCTACACAATTCTTACAGGTCATCTGCACAGCAAACTCCATCTACAAAGATAACACTAATACCAATGCATTTTGTGGTAATAAATAATGGAGCAGTGGAAGAATCTGGGGCAAAATTCAAGGCACCACAGTATACCTTGACTTCTTGCTTACAAGTTTATGGCAATCATTGCCACAAACAAGATGTTACAAGATTTAAAAGGATAACCCTTGTAACTGATTTCTCCAAACAGTTCAATTTGAGAAAAAAACTACATTAAAAATATGATAGTAATTAAAATAATATAAATAATGGTGGAGAGAGTGTGTGCAAAAGTGCTGAAGAATCATACAAGACCTACCACCCTGAGATTTCTCTTTCCAAAAAAACTCAGTATAAATGACAGCATGTGTTAAGTACTTCATTTTTTCATACTTTCTTGAGGGAATATGCTCCCATACCTAGTCTTCCACTCTCCCTCCCCTCCCCCCCCCCCATATAGGCAATGCCTGCAGTGTCACAATCGATGGCTATGCAGTCGAAAATCTCAGTCTTTGGCAGAGCTCTGCAGTACTATGCAACGTACTGTTTTGACGAGAAATTAAATAGAACGTTAATTTCAATTTTATTATCTAAAATACCCCTCAAGTTTTAACCAATGAAAGTCAAAGACATATATATACATCCTGATATGCGAGACTACGATACTCAGGACATCATTCCCCCGATACAAATTTTTTTATCCTTTATTTTGTCGTTGTTTTTTGAAGAAAAGAATGTTTAAGTACCAAAGTTACCAAAATTGTGAAACATTTAAAAAAAAAATCCTATTTAGTCTACGCCTGAGTAGGTATTCAAATGGTTAATTTTCACTTGTGATTCTAGATATCGTGAACCTACCATACAATCATGCAGTTCAAATTTTCAATCATATAACAATTTTACGCTTTATAGCTAAGAATAGTCTCGGCGGAAGTGAAATTTCATAAAAATTTAAATTGATTGTAGCAACAACGAACAAACTTTCCCATCTAGTGTAGAAAAAAGAACAAGTACCTTTTGGTTAAGCAGCAAACCAGATAATAAAATGCATCTGATTTATCAAAAAATTACAGAACTAAAGAATTACCTTGGTTGGGTTGGAAGCCATCTTGAAATGCCGAGTACGAGTGAGCCTGGGATGACTATGTCACCCTGGAGACGAGGCTGATTACTACAAGCCCGGGAAAAAGGAACATGGCAGCTAAGGAGAAAGAAGACGCGAAAGTTCAACCGTTGATGATATTTTATGATAGTGAAGCCGCTAATGGAAATGTTTACTGTGGCGATATCATTGAAATAGCTGCAAAGTGCCATCCTGATGTTGTGAAAGGTTCTTTTCAGTCGCTGATAAACACCAAACAACCGCTGTGTGCCTTCGGTAAGTGAACGTTGTTTATGCGCTTCTTGCATAACATCGACACGATAAATCTACACCGTCAGCAACTTTGTGCTCTTTGTGACGCCGCTGCATTTCAAAGAAAAAGCTATGTGTGAAGAAATTTTTTTCTGTAAAGTTTTTGCACGGACTGGAAAAGAGCCAAAGATTCATAGAAATGGGAAAGAAAGCCTTCAACATCTGAACAGCGTCTTATAATTTGCCAAGAATAACAGCGCGTGCGAAGAAGCGCATGTCTGTTGATTCGACGGAATTCAAATTATTTCCTAATTTTCCCTCGATCTGCTTAAAATTTCACTTTTACCGAAATTTGAAGACAATTAAGACTCCCTCTCACGAAAATGCTCCTTTAGAAACTGTCTCAACTCGTTCAGGCTTTTACAATGTGTTGGTATTTCCGGTATGTTAATTGCCAACGCCATAAACACAGGCTTCGTCATGTATTTCTGAACTAGTCTCAATCCTGTTTTCGACACCGGCTCCTTTTCTCTTGGTCTACCTTCTTCTCGAGTGGTCTATTTGTTTTAAAGTAAGAAGGCGATGATATGATTTTTAAATTTGCTGTGGGTGCAACGAATCTTTTTTCGTTTTTTAATCCCATGGAAGAGCTCGAGTTCATTGCGAATATAATTGTTAGTAAACGAACTGTGATTTAGTTAACTAATTGATTTGGAGGGAAATGACCTATTATTTTCCTTTTTTCTCAAGGTGTTGTCGCACTTTTAATACTACAGATAAAAATTTTGAGCTTCTTCATATTTTTTAAAACAAGAGAGTATAGGATATTTATTTTCTGCCGAATGACAGGAAGAAATTTACAGTAGCCTGGTAATTCCAAATTGAGTTTTATTGGTGGTTATCTCAAAGAGTTCAATATTGATGATAACAAACACAATATTTAAGCTTTTTACTTTTTCACTCCCAAGATCTCTTTAGTAATTCTCCTTACAGCATGGCAAACAGTTCTCATAATGATGGTTTGGAGAATTTGATATTGAATTAACTATTAAACCCCTAATTGATATTTTTCTCTTTTCATCACTTGTCTTCTTGATATTGCATTGATATTGTGAGGATGCATTCTGTTTTGGTCATTCATGGGAATTAAAGGACAAATTCACCACCTGTGTTTTGAGAACTTTAGCTACAGTTTTGGCATACACTGCACTCTAAATGTTTTTTAAAAATAAACTCATTTTACAGCCAATACTACAATTTGGTTAACTTTTTCATAGTTTAATTGATATATGGAATGGAGTGGTGAAATAAGAATTTTTATGTTTTTTTAATCAGAACCAAAATTATTGGATATATACAGTCTACAGACATATGTAGTATTTGCACTTAACCTTTAAAGTCCATGAGTGGTCAAGAGAGAATTTCTTCTTACAATATTTAACAATTATTTATCAAAGTGGAGGTGAATAGTACTGGATATTTACTGAGCTGCAGTATATACCACTCAGATAACAAGAAAATAAGTTCATTTCCTTCCATTATAAGCAAATGGTCGAACATTAAACTCTTGATTGGCAATTTTGTCTTACCAGGTCCTCAGAGGTGAATAGCACTTGCTATTGACTTCCTAACTAGCCTATCAGTACACGTGAAACTACACTATTCACTTGTGGGGTATATACTACTAATATTTACCTGTGGGGTATATACTTACAATATACATAGAATACTTCAAGGAGGTCTGCCTGTATGGTACAATAATATACACAAATTGGTAGTATTAATAATTAAATGAGTGAGGCAGTAAAGAAGTGAGATTTCTGATACAAACCAACGGGAGGGGAAATACCATACAGACAGACTTTCCATGATGTGTTATGTTCATTTTATCCATACAGAGACTCCATTCTCATTTACTGACAACTTATAGTTAGGCTGTGATAGGGGAGGAGGATGTCAAGAGGTGGAGAAAAAAAATTTTTTGATGTTACTGTAGTCTTTTTATTTAATAGTCTAAACAACTTGTATTTCCTATTGTGTACTCACATCATGTCTAGCTGCCAGAGATTGTGGTCTGTCACAGGAGGATCTAAGCAACAAGCCATTCTTCAGGGAGATTTTTCTTAAATTTCTTTCCTGGATAGATGACATGGTGAAATTAGCCAAAAAGAAACATGGGAAGCAGTTTTTTCCAGGTAAAGTACTTGATATAGCGGTTCTTGGGCTAGAAATCAAACATGGTAGTGTTCCCTGTGTGATTAAATTTAAATGTATTTTTCTCAGGGGTTCTTGTAAATAGAAATTTGGTGGTGGTGTCCAGATACTGCAAGTATCATGTAACCCAACAAATGCAGTAGAATAGAAAAGTAAATATACCCAGCAACTAAAATATCAGGTAGATGTTTCCTTACAACTGATTACTAACACCATTTCTATTCTTGTTTTTCAGTGTTGTGTGCACACCATGGCTATCAATTTGACTTCTTGATTTTACTGAACAACATGGAGAGGTGTGGATTACATCACTCAATTTTGACCCAGCACAATGTTCATTTTGCAGATACTTTGGTTTTCTGTCATGAGGTTGGTGCATGGTTTGGTTGCAAATCTTGTGTGAACTTGCACTGAATCAGTTAGTTAAAACAGTTATGCTTGTGTATGTGATGCACTTATGTTGTGGTTCAAATTTTAATTTTCTTTGATTTTAGACTCTTTGTCATGCAGTGCCACATGCCAAAACAAAGGAAAGTAAAATTTGAACTGAGGATAGAAATGAAACAACATGTACACATAATTTGCGCTTTAAATTTTTATTGAACCTATTGTTTTAGTTTAACTGTAAGGACCTGTGGTTGTATTGATTTTGATGAGGAATACTTTGTAAAATTAATGGATGTGAACGTTGGAAACCTGAAAGTAACACCTAGGAAATTGTTCCATCTTTTTCTAACCTGTACCTATAAATTGTTATGAGTTGCAATAACTTAACATATTTACCCAATGATATCATTGCATGTGAATAGAACAAGAGAGATGGTAAATTTTGTTTCATCTGAACTTTGTAATAGACTTCACTCACTGTGGAGTCTCTGAGGCTCAGTGATAGAGCATTGGATCGTGCAATCCGAAGGTCTGAGGTTCAATTCCTCATGGGGATCTAGAATTTTTCTTTGTCCTACTCTTGTGAAAAGACAAAAAACATCTTTCCCTATCTCGATATCATTGAAATTTGTTTAACTGTTAGTATTAATGCAGAAGAAGGACAAATGATCAAATAATCATATGATGTACCTTTTGAGGTAAAGAGAGGAAAGAGCCTCCTTCCCTACCCATTTCAAGAAATACCTTGGCATGCACAACATACATCTGTTTTATATTTTATATGTTCACAAGAGACAATCTAACACTTTGCTTGCAGATATGTTCTTAGCTTGTTTTAATTTATTTTTTTATTAATCTGCATGTATTTTTCATGAAAATGTTGTCATGAGCATATTGAAAGTCATGCACAAAAATGAATCAAAACCTTCAAAACTGCTTTAAAAAGATGTGAAGGAAATGTTGATTACATCTCTTTGAACTCTCCTTTTGTTTAGTTGAAAGACAATGGGGAGAAGTTGTTGGCCAACACAAGACTGTCCCTTGAGGCGCTGTATAGAAAATTCTTTCCAAAGAAAATTTTTAAAGGTAATACTGTCAAAGGAGGTGTGATGTATACATGTGCAGTATTCTTAGAGGTATTTTTGAACAATTCATGAATTCAGAACATGACCAACTAGGTTTGCCTTTATATGGTCTGCTGATGTGTTTCAACCTAGCATCGGTAACATAGTTTTGTTGGCCTCTCCTGTGCAGTACCCAAACTATCATTTTGAAACATAATTCATGGAACAAAACAGTTGGAACTAGTGCGAGAAGAAATATAGTTTGTCTCTTAGATTATTTATTTGCACGACATTCATTTTCCCTGATTTTGTGTTGTTGACCATCCAATCAAATCCCTTACTCTATCTGTGTGTCAATGCACTTTCCTCTGACTTTTTAGCTTTGGTTAACTCAGAATCTCTACAATCAATTTCGGAAAATTAAGTTGCAGTGGTACTCTTGTAAATTTTAGTGTTAAAACATTACTAGAAAATGTATTTTAGCAAAGTTCCATTTTGGCTTTTCAGACAGACACAGAGCCATGGGTGATGTAGATGGAATGGTTAAGATCTTCACACAGACACCACTCCGCAAACTACTTCGCCTCTTGAAGTATTCATCTACCAAAGAAAGGTTTGTTCCATCATAAACTGTCGCTTGGGAATGTCTGAAGGGAATCAGAATGAGTACAACTTTCATATTGAACTAAGAATTGTGTTGTCCAAAGAGAAGAAGTGAGATTGTATGAAGGGAAAGTAAAGCTAGTGTCATTTTCTACTAACTTCAAAAGCCATGTACTCTTAGATTTGATTGAGGTTGGTTTTGTCCCTTCTCCTGGGTAAAGTCAACTTGCGTGTAGTTTGACCTGTGGTGAATTTATTTTAGGTACCTTTTTATTGGAGAAAGCAGCTTTCACTATTGAGTTTCAAGCTCATTTGAACACAATTTTCAAACAATTTGATTATGGGTTGAGTCTCAATACTCAGTTATCAGTAAATTTTCAAATATTCATGTACTGTGGAATGGAGGCAACAGAAATAATGTGGATTCTAGAACGTGTGTCTTCTCCAAAGTAGTTACATATATAAGTCCTTGGCAATTCTGGTTTTGAAATGGAGCAAGTCCATCATTTTTATTTCAATAACAAAGGAGATATTATGGAAATGTATTTAATATTTATCATGAACTAAAATTTATGTTTGTAGATTGGAGTATTACATCTCTCAGTGTGGAAAAAAACAGCAACAAGCCATTTTAGAAGGTTGGTCAGATGGGTATGCGTTACTTAGTGAGTGGTATGGATTCAGATGTTTGGATTTGGGAGTAGGAGGCGTAGAGGGCGCTCTGAACTATGAAAAATATAATAGATGCACATGGACATCTGAGGGTGGTGATCTAACATCTGGTTATACTGAGTACACTAGCTTTGTTTTCGTTGCTTACAGGCTTTCAAACTGTATTTATCGTACAGTTATAGAACTGATTAGTAAACCATCTCTTTTTCTCACCAATTTAGATAAACTGTGTAAGCTGGATGCATGCAGTAAGAATATGTCTATAAAGAAACTCTTAAAGGAGGGAATTACGTACAACACTCTCAAAAGAATCTTTGAAGATTGCTGTTCTTTTATGGATTTTTATGAAGTCATGAAAACCTATGGTATTGAAAGGAAAGTGTCAAAGGTTATAGCATTACATTTCGGTGGACAAGGGCTTCAAAATCATGGTTTAACAGCATACCCAAGGTTGTACGAAGAGAAACCAAACCAAGCGAGTTCAGAAAGTCACCATGCTGAAAGTAAACCACAACCAAACATGGTAAGTGTGAACAGCTTAGAAGATGGCAAGTTATCTGAAAGAGAGAATGGTACTGAGGACTGGGAGAGAGACTTGGTAAAAGCTGCACCTCGAAGTAGCTTCACCCTGAAGTGTACTACTCCTGCTCCTCTGAGCCTGGTTCTTGATGACTTATCGTACACTCATTCAGAGAAGAATAAAATAGGCGTTGAATCTCCAATAGGAAAAGTTAAATCTGAAAGAACTCATTCCTCGCACAAATCTGAAGGAGAACATTCCCTGTCTGAGATGCAAAATGTTGAAGTCGGTAATAAGAGTTCACGGGGAAAAACCTCCGGAGCTGAAGCTAGAAAGGGTTCTACTGACTCAGCACCTCATGCACCAAAGCAGAGAGATGAAAAGACTGTCAAAGGGAGGAAATCTTTCAGAAAAAAGAAACCAGACGACATGCTTTCCAAGGAAGTCGCCTTTTCAGGAAAAGACAACAGAAGAGATCTAGTCAAACCGAGGCAGTCCAAGCTAATAAATCCTTCTGTAAATGACAACTACATTACAAAAAACAAACCATCCGCTCCCTGTTCGTCTTCTGATAAAGGTAAACCAGAGAGTGAGCTGAAGGAGCAAGCTTTTGATGGATGTTGCTCCCCAACTGAATGTTCAGTAGCAAAGTTACAGCTTACAGAAATTTCTGGCGCTTCGTCCACAACAAACCTGGAGCATAAGTTCGCTAGTGTTCTTATAGGAGACATTGCTATTCTCGTTCCTGTTGAGTGCGATGGCAAAGATTGTGATTCTAATGTAACTGGTGTAAATGAACCTGAAGCACATACTCTAGGGAAGAGCAAGGAACTTAGTTCGACACAAAAAAGTCCAGTCTTTGACAATGTACCTTCAGTCCATGCTGTGCAAGGACCATTTGAAACACACTTTGAAGACCTGACTGAAGGAGATAATTTCGATCCTAACAAGATAACGAAGTCTTCACAGCAGAATTGCGATCTACCTCCAGGTAATTCGGTGAAACCTGTTGTGCTGAATTTTCCCTCAGAGCATGATCGGTCTCTTCTAAAATCACCTGAAAGTTCTCATGAAACATGCTTCGAAGAGCAACCTGAAGTCAACGAATCAAATCTTAGTGGTGCCATTGAGGTGCAGTTTGAATCGTGTGAAGAAAGTACCCTGAAATCTAGTTTTGTGGCATCTGCTGTTCGGTCTGACGGAGACACGTGTCATGCACACCCATCATCTTTGGACTTTGAGCAGTCTCCTGGAAATGCCCTGGTACATGATCAAATAACATGTGAAGAAGAGAAAGAAAATGTTAGCAATTATTTACATGAAGTAAGGACAAGTACCAACTATTTCGTTCCTCTTGTTAACCTTTCAAGTAGTGGTTTTCAGGCTTTGAAGGAAACTGATCAAGGCAACTCTAAATGTATCTTTGATACGAATAGTTACTTCATGCATGAAGCGTGCTCGGCAAACAAACCCCCATGTCTTAACGGCTCAACGGTAGAAAGAACCAGTGGTTTGATTTCTTCATGGGAAGAAATGTCATGTGCTCATTTACCAAACTCTGCTTTACCACCGTCCAGTCCGGTAGAAAACCCCTCCCTTGGAAGCTGTGGTATGAATCAGGGTTTTGCATCTGACCTTACAAGCACTGAGAGTACAATTCAGGCACGTGGTGATTTCCTTGCTGAATTGTCATCAGAGAGCAGCAGTGCTAGTGATGACCAATCCGTAGATGACCGTGCATTTTCACGTCAACCGCCCCTCGGTGAGGAGCGGAGATATACTCCTGACACAGTTCACCAGCAATCAAATCAGCTGCCTTTGGCAGGGAATGCAAGAGAAGTGATAACTCAACAGCCTTCAGGTCCCTGTTTGTATTACAGTCAAGCATCATTCCCGCCACTGCAGGGTAATCCACATAGAACTTTCTACCAAGGGTACCCCGCGTTACCTCTGTTGAAACCATGCTACCCGTCTTTCACTTTCTCCACTCCTGTCCAACCTGTGATGGCACCTCACCTCATGCAACCACCGCATCCTCAACAGGTCTTTATGCCACCGTTCCAGTACAGAAATCAAATGATGTTCTCTAACTTAGTCCCACCAAGCTTAGGCCTTCCATCTGTGCCTCATGCCCAACTTCAGCCACAGTTATTTCCAGTTTTTCAAGCTGCCACGGCCTTTCCTTGCTTTTCCGGTGTAAATCTTTATGAGCAAGCACAACAGGCAGCTGGTCCACCTGTTGATGCCAGTGGCCAACTGGTCTTTACTCATTCAGCAACTGCACTCTCCCAAGGTGGTTCTGTCGTCAGTGACTCGATGGATTCGTGCGGCTCGCAGGGTAGTTTGGTGGATTCCAGTTCAGATACGTCTTCAGTCCATAGTTCATTTGAGGGAATGATGACTTCGCCAGTAAATCAGACAGATGATAATTTAAAATCTTTCCTTGCTAAGGCAGATAACGACTTCGGCTATACAACGACGGTAGCATACAAGGACACTCAGAAAGAACCTAAAGAAGATTTCAAAGAAAACAACCCACTGTCTGGACACAAACACGAGAGCCAAGTAGTTACGTTAGCAAAACTTTGCCACATGAAGGTATCTGGTAGTGACATCAGCTCAAGCCACCAATACTGTGAAAGTCAAGAGGACCTCGTGCATAAACAAGTTACAATTTTGTCCCATGAAGAGAGTGTGATGGGAATGGGAAGGCGACTGTCACCGGATGGAAGTAGTGTGGAGGGCGTTTGTCTCGATTTATCAAGCAACGATTTCAAAGACGAATTTTCAAAAGAAGCAAGTGGATCTCCAAGTGATTGGGACAATTTGTCAAAAGAATGTTGTAGCTATACTCAAACTGTTGTGAAAGAACTGAAGAATGGAAATATTAAAGATAGTGGTCCATCCCCAAAACCGCAGCGGATCAAAGGAAAATGTTCTCGGAGATGGAAAAGTACCCAATCTTCGTCTTTTTCAACCTCATCGCATGACGATCTTTCTCCAGGAACTGAGCAACTTTCAGTAACGTGTCTTACAGTGAATGAACAGTCTTCCATCTGTGAGAATAATAACAATTCTTTTAAACTGGAAGATGGTGATATAAGCTGTGTCAACGATACAGGTCAGCGTTTGAAAACAAGGAAGAATCACAGGAGAGTGCGATTTTCTAAGCGGGACTCTGCTCGATGTAGAGAAAGTTTTTCATCGCTACAGCAGCCCTCTAAACGTCAGGAAAATCATAGTATTGGTAGAACAGCTCGTGAAGTCTGGGAAAGAGGTCTTACTGACAAGTTGAAGGGGCCATTTAAGGAAAAGTCATCAAGGAAGGGAACTTTAGAGGAAAAAGTGCCCAAGCTTGGTACAAAGATTGACAAGAACAACAATTCCTGACTGGAAAAGGTCTCGCTGTGGCTGAGATTGGGAGAGATAAGAAAGAATTTCGTCAAAGCCTTCTCATAATTTAAAAAGTAATATTATGGCGAAATGTTTATGTGAATTAACGGTCAAGTGTTATTTACTGAGCTCAGAAAGGATACATCAAATTTCTTAACTGAATTGTTCATTAGATTTGTTGAAACTGTGTGGCAATCTTTATTAATGATGGAGGCAAGGAGGGAGCTATTTAGTTACAGGTTGGTAGAAAGGTTGGTAAATAGGTAGCGTTGATTTCCAACAAGGCCAGATGATGATCAACGTGGAACAAGTTATTGTTAGTTTTTGTTGAATTTACTAAAGTAAAAACGTACTTTGGATAACAGAATGTAGAAAGTTCAGGTCATTACTTATTTAGGCAAAGTTTAAGCGATTTTTCTGCTTCAGTGTGTGGGTTTCCGAACTTTAAGTAGTTATTTTATTGATATTGTTACTGTTGTAATTTCCAGGGCGTATTTTTATTTAGTAGAAAGATCATATTCCACCAAAATTAACATTTCAAGAATATTTTCCAAAATTGTTGAAGGGTAATTTAAACCAAGAAGTTTCGGTGTCATCACGAAGCTAATATGTATGTCAGGCTATCATTCAGTGTGTTTAAAAAGATTCAAAACAGAAAAAACTTATGCCTACTTTTACAGTTGCCTTTTTTGATTTTTGTCTAACATTGATAAAGGCGTATAAAGGACGCCGAAACGTCGAGGAATAAATCTTTACAACATTAAAATATTTTCGTGTTAAAGATCCGTACTTGTTATTGAAGTTGTGTTTGAACAAGAAACTGAAACGAATTGTTTTATTGCTTAATATTATATTCTAAACTTGTTTTATTAAAGTTGATGGTTTTTAAGGAATTGTGTGGCGTTCCAATTGATTCTGTATGTCTGTAGCGATGATGTGTCTTGTTGACCTTCCTCTCAGGAACTAACTTTCAGTTCCATCCGATTTAGTGACAATGAGGAAGTCTTGAATTTTATAAGAAAACATTTATAACCAGGACGACTTTTGTTTGCGAGCATCCTCTTCATTGTCAAGCTCTTTCCGTGATAGGAATGAATTAGATTAATCTATGCGAGAAATCGCTGTCATATTGTATTGCCAAGTGTTGTGCACCAAAAAAGAAAAAGTAGATTTAGGTTAATGAATTCCCCTTCCTAAACAAATCAGTTGATTTAGGAATGTGTGTAACGAAATTATCGCTTTGATTAGTCGCTTTGATTTGTTATTGGAATTCCTGCCATTACGACGACGACGGCTGGTGCAAGATAGCAAACTGAAATGTGACCTCATCGATATGCAGTATAGAAATATACCCTTTGAATCAAGAGGTGCCATCGATAAATATTCACTACCATGAAATTAACCAAATTAAGAAAGTACACAATTGAGAGCGTAAGCTAAATATGTCTACCGCTGTTTTAGAATCCCATCTTTCCGGGTGGGCCATGTTAGTAGTTTTAATAACTGAGTTAAGGAGGTCTGTTAACTGCATCAGGTTTTCTGTTGCGCCGATCAATGTCCGCCGGGCCAGTTCTTACCATTTCAGTCCACCAGTGTGGCAGAAGGTGCGAGTTGTAAGAGAGCGTTGGTGAAAACTTCTCCTATCTCTCTTGGAGATGACCAGCGTTGTGGTCGAGATTTTAAAACTGTTGTTTCTGAGGAGGCCATTTTTAGTGTTTTTTGCATATTTCATTTGCAATGAAATATTATTTGCGCACTTTATACCAATAAATGATGACAAATTTCGCTTCTTCTCCCTCTCCCCATAAGTCCCGAAATGTAACACGAAGTCTCGCTTCTTCTGTTTGACATCGAAAGAGCCGCTGGATTCGACTGCGATGTGAATGACCCTATATTCTGCGGTTTCCCACCAAAACAAAACGTGTCTTTACGTAAATCATGGCCGTATTACAAGCATTTGCTTTGGTCTTTTTTTCCGTTATTTCACCAAGATTAGCCGATAAGGTACTTTCACTAACAGATGTAGATTTTGAAGACAAAGTTTTTGGATCGTCTACACATTTTGTGATGTTTTACGGCCCTTGGTAAGTCGTAAAATTTCTGTAAACATTCACCAATAAAACTTCCGACTGTTTCACCTATGTTAAGCTCATCACTGTACAGGTATTTATTTTCTAAAGATTAACTTTGATGCAATCTTCGTTGATCGTCTCCTACACAACTGCTCGCAACACAGGTCAGCTAGTCGTTTAACTGCATCTGGTTCGTCGTGAAATTGAGATAACTTTCCTCGAAAACATGCTTCTCTTCCTGTAGAAATTTAACCCACCGCAATTCTTCGGCCAGGGAGCTACATCCTGAGTACTCTTGAAGTGTCCACTCAAAACGGGTTTTCGGACACAGACGTGCTCACTACCAGTATCTATGTCTTATAACAAAAATTTTACTTAGTTTTACAGAAAATCTGATAAGGATTATTTAAGGTCTGATATTAGTTCCATTTGATATGGTTCTAAGTCTTATACTGTTTTCAATTGTTAATAATTAGGTGTGAATACTGTGCAAGTTTCATGCCAATCTGGAATCAGCTAGCTAATCACTACAATAAAATCCCACACAGTGAACATGTAACAATAGCTAAGGTGAGAAAAAATAAGGACAACTACTTTTTATTTATCAGTTGACTAGTTTTTTTCTTCTTATTTATTTCCCTATATTTTTATGGAGAAATATAGATTTAAAACAAGCTCAAGGGTGGAGTAAGACTTGTTGGCTAGATGTTTTATGGCACATGTAACTTCTGTCAATGAATATTTGGATTTGTCTCAAATCATGCGTGTTAATCATGTGGTCAGTAAGGAAAAGGATATAAGTGCATGATGATGACAATATCAGTAATACAAACAGCTTGTGGTAATCCAATTATTTTGATGATAACTATTATAAAAGCTGAGGCAAATGTGCAGCTATTTGTTTGTTTTTTGTTATTGTTTCATTAGGTTGATTGTACAAAAGAGACTCCTCTATGTGCAAAGCAGAATATCCGTGCATATCCTACGTAAGGCCAAATCTTTTACCTTTTGTCAGTAAACATCTGTTAGCTTTTACAAGTAATGTAATAGAATATGTTCTGTTTCTTTTCTTAATTTAAGGTTAAAACTTTATTATGATCATGGTGAAATAAAGAGATACAATGGAAAAAGGAGAATGGGTGAACTAAAAGCCTTTGTTGATAAGTTTGCTGTTACATCAGAGGTAAGACACAACACCAGAGGCAGCCATGTAACTGAAGGATTGATATGTGTTCATTGAAAAGAAAGGCAGAGCAACCTTGAATATGAATGATGTGGAGATAGGAAATCTACACAGCAGATTCTCATGAAAATTGGTTGGGTCAGCTTTTCATAATTCTCTCTTTAGATTTATTGAATCCAAACAATCTGACAAAGGCTAAGTGGTATATACCCATACCCTTAAAAATCAAGATGTATCTGTGCAATCTTTGAGCCCTTTTGGGCTGCCAGCTATATAGGAATAAAACAAATGAAATACTATCATCTTTACTAAATTAAGAGCCTGTGACCCTTGATTAAGCACTGTTCCCTATTAAATGCCTCATGTGAGAACAATTATATAAATAAGTGCTGATAAATTTAGAGTGAACAGTTTGTTTTTCTTGGCATATCTGAGAGACCTTGTTTTATTTTTAGATTTGTAATGCTTAATTTACACAGAAGGCTATTGCCAAGGACATGAAATGTGTTATTTGTTGTTCTAGATTAACAGTTTTTTCTGTTAATGGATCATATATTGAAAGAAACATGTTAAATGGCTTTTAAAACTTTTAGTAACCCTTGGCAGTTTACCCACACTTATGCTGAGAATTTGGTGGGTTAAGAGGCAATTTCAAGTGTTGCACTTGAGAGTGACCAAATACCAAACCTAAAAGACCTTTGTCATGGAGTCACGATGGCTGCACCTGTCAGGAAGCCTCTATACACCTTCCTTGCATGTTGATACTGAAAAGCTTGAAATAAATCAGTACTATAAGACCTTTAAAATCTTGGTTTCTTTTAGCAAAAAGAAAAGGAAAATTCAGAGGCTACAGGTGAATCAGATAATGGTTTGTACACACTGACGTCAGATAATTTTGATAGACATGTGGAAATGGGACTGCATTTTGTGAAATTCTATGCCCCATGGTAAGTGAAAAAATATAATTTTCATGGTATTAATATGATGTTCAAGGATTTTCCTGCTGTTCTTCATGCTAGCTCATTGTATCCCTATGCTGAAGGTCAAGGGTTCAAGCCCCAAACTGGACTAACATTAAGGGTCTTAAATTAACTGAGGGGAATGTCCTGCCTTTGCTATAACATCCACAAATGGTCAGACATTATAATTATAGTTTTCTTGGACAAGGATAATCGACTATTGTTCCCATCTCCTGCATCTCCTTTGCACTGGTTAGCACGGGATGTCAAAGAACCCACTCACTTCTTGTAAAGAGTAGGGAACACAACTCCTAGTGTTGTGGTCAGGCCCCCATTTGAACCAGCTTTTAGCTGAACTGGGACACAGCTAAATAAGTGAATGAATTGCATAAAGAAACTTGACAGGTTGCCTCTCATTGTGAAAGAGTATGAAACTGATGCCTCAAATTGTGGGTTTGAGTCACCAGAGATGTTTTCGTTAGTCATGTGAAACATGTCCAAGTTAGCTTACTGAACTGCATCTAACATGAATTTATTGCAAAATATTGTGAAGTTACTGAGTGGCAATAATTACATTAATTCAACGAAGAAATTATTTGGTCACAGAGAACTGTTTGGATTGATGCTAGTTCTTGTCAGAATGAAGTTGGTATCACTAGATTTTAATTTAAAAAACACAAATCTTACAGGCCAAGAAGTTAAAAACCTTAGGAATTTACCCAGTCTTCTTTTAATACAGTAAGGTTAATAGTAGTGTAAATTTTCTGCTATTTTGATGAGACGGTATTCCATTGTAAGAACCTCCCCAGTATTTTGACAGATTGCTATAAGTCTGGGTGGAGAAAAACACTGTAAGGAAATTCTGTACCTTTTAAAAGTAAAAAATTCTCTACATTGGGGTCAATGTAATGATGCCCCAAAGACTGATAATCATTAACTGGTAATCACAGTTATTGAGAATACATAGTTATCAGTCATACAATGTCATGTAGCTTTCACTCTTTGGATTTTGTTGCACAGGTGTAGTCACTGCCGCAAACTTGCACCCACTTGGAAGGCACTAGCAGAGTACCATAAAGACAATGTGGATGTGACAATTGCCAAGGTGAAAATTCACTATCTTTTGCTTTTCAGAGAGATGGAGACCATCACATTTTTATTTTCTTGTCAAATAAGTGTTTGCCTCATTGACATTTGGAAATTTATATTGTTCAGATTGATTGTACAACTGAGAGCAAACCATGCACTGAACACAATATCCATGCATATCCTTCACTGAAGCTGTTTAAAGATGGAAGAGAGGTTAGTGATATTCTGCTTACTGTTCCTAGTGAAAATAATGAGGAAACGTAACAAAGATATTCATTCTCCTGTGTTCAGTGAAGAATCTGGTTACAAAAATATTATTTGGTGGTCTCATTGTTATCTTTATCCAGGGATTGGTGTCTCTGTACCATCTATTTCAGAGGTGAGGGCAGGTTCCCTCATCTCACTATTAAAGCTTGGGCAAACTATACTACACACCTCACAATATTTGTGAAATCAAATATAATTCTGAGAATATAAAATAATACTGGTACTGCTAAAAAATATGGGGGAAAGGAGGCAAGGGCTTTGAACAGCGATAGAGCAACATTCCCTCCTGGATGGAATCATTTCTGTCAGAGTGTTATCCGTCCTTTTATAGCAGGTAGCTATGGTTCAAGTTATGGTACTTTTGTGTCTGGTAAATAATTCCCTATAACATCAACAGGACTGATTTGAATTCTAAATGCCTTAGGTGGACCATTATGAAGGACCACGTTCACTTGATGATCTGAAGAATTATTTGACTCTAAAGATCTCTGAGCACAGTTTGTTAAGTAGTGCAATCACAGAAAACAGTGAGACTGCTGAGGAGATTCCATCAGATGATGCAGAGGCTGACATGGTAACAATTTAAATTGCAATTAGAGGGTTGTTTCTATATTCCCAGTCTCACTTGAATGGGAGAGAAACTAGTGACAATGCATTGAAATCAAAGTGGTGAAACCAAGAGCCAAGTCTTTTGCCTGTTTTTGTTCACCACTCTTCCTCGGTTTTTAAATTCCTCTTGTAATACATTTCCAACCAAATCATTTCAGAGATGAAGTATCAATACTCACAGTGTTCCCCTAATTGTAGGCTTGATTACAGTGTTGTGTTTAGACCCTTTCTTTGAAAGTGTGATTCTCCACCACTAATCAAACATAACTACGTTCTTTCCCCTCAAGTAGCTTGTATGCATGTGGCTGGATACAGAAACAGACTGTGTTACTGACTAAGTGGGAAACTGTCAAGACATCTTCATGCTTTAAACCTGATTTAGGTCAAGGACCTCAGGCTCTTGGGCTCACCCTTGTTGAACATTGCATCATCATTTAGAAAGATAAATCTATTGACTTGCCTGCACTACAGCTGCTATTGAAATCCAAGATAATTCTGATAATCCCATGGCTCCTTTTCAGATTAAGCCATTCCAGCTGACAGACAGTAACTTTGATGCCATGGTCAGTGTGGGCACAACTTTTGTCAAATTTTATGTACCTTGGTAAGTTCAAAATACCGTCACTTTGCATCAGTTTTTTGTGTATGTTGTCTGAGTAATCTGTTATTTCACTACAAGAGCTTCCCTTATGTCATGGAGATTATGAAGGAGAATCAGAAATTAGGTCTCCTTTTTTCTACCTTCTGAGTTTGGCATGTGCTCTCTGGTTAGTTTGGAATGCAATATGTGTGCTAATTATCAAAGCCTCTTGCAAACTTGGATTGAGACTAATTGTATTTAAATTTGGAGTTTTTCAAGGACTAAAGGGGTTTTCCTGATCTTTACATACTTAGGGAGCTTATTGGCTTGAGGTGGCAGTCCAAATGAAAGAGAGAATTCATTATCATATTTCTGAGGTTGTATTTCACTCTCGTCTTGTATTCACAGGTGTGTCCACTGCCAGACACTTGCACCAATCTGGGATCAGTTGGCAAACAAGTGCGCAGACAGTGCTTCTGGACCTAGAATTGCAAAGGTTTCTTTTTTATTGTTAAATATAATTCATACTCTCACCCAACAGTTCTGTGGTAACCTTTCCATGAACTGTCATGAACCTGAAAAAAAAAAACTGACCAGTTATAGTAGACTTGAGAATCAAAATAAACTCATAAAAAAAGCAGGAGGATAAGTAACTTGAGTGGGAAAAAACTTATAACAGTTTTGCCTGTATCTTTTTCAACTTTAACCCACAGAGATTGAGTACCTTTATCTGTTAAGGGAAATGCATTCCCAAATTTTCCCTTTAGGTTTTTTTCATTTTTGCATTAGGCGAGTTGAGAACTGATCAAATTATGAATAAAGGTGGTAAGTTTCAAAAGAAACTTTGGTGCTGCATTGGTGGGAGGTTCAACAGGATAATTTGGTTTTATCAACTGAGTTGATTTTGTAAATTGGCCAATAAGAGTTTCAAAGGTGACATTTCCAGTGTTAACCCTTTGTCCCTCCCCCTGTGGCCAATTGACATTATCAACTCAGTTGATAAAATCAAATTATCCTATCCAGGAATGTATTGTTTAGCTACCATATTGTAGCTTTTAACTTAAAAGGGATGGCCTTCGAACATCTGTGTATTATTTTTAGGTGCCCTCTCATCAAGTTTGTCATTTGAACTACCCCACCATTTGTTTCATTTTCTCTTTTTTAATATTGGCTGATTTTTTTTCCCAGGTTGACTGCTCAGAAGAAGCTGATCTTTGTCATAGTTTTGGAGTAAGCTAATTTTTTAACATTCCCACTAGGAAATAAATACTTACTAGAGAAATCTTACCACAGCCTTTCTTAAAGAGTGGAGTTGCAAATCACTTATGAGGTAATATCACTATGTTTTAACCTCTTTTTTATTCTCAGTTTTGTTTTATTTTTTCTTAGATCAAGGGGTATCCTACCCTTATCATATTTAGCAGAGGCATTCGGAAACAAGAGTATCGTGGACCCAGAGATTTGAACAGTCTCTACAACTTTGCTGTCCAACACCATGATGAACTCTAACTAGTATGCCCTGACCAATCGTGGATTAGAATAGCTATTGATTGGGCCAGTTATCAACTAGGATGGCCATTGATTGGTCCAATTATCCATTAGGATTGAATGTATGCTTCTTTCTTAAACCAATCACATAAAAAAAGATAACCAAAGAAAAGTTGCAGACAACATGAAGAAACATGAATGGACAGTGGTTTGTTTTATGGGAAATCTAATTTTGTAGAAGTGTTTAGGATACATTCCTTTCTAGATAATTTTTTTGGTGTCTAGATAATTTTTCACAGCCATTTTTATGCTAGAGAGTGGTAGATAACAAGAACAGGAAGTTGTATGTACAAAGTGATAGTGGAACATAATGTACGCAAAGGCTCTGAGGAGCTTTTGCCATCAAAAGGAATGACTTATTTATGAAAATATATATATCTATTCAAGTCTCCAGAAAGGAAACTAATAAAATTTCTTATATATGCAACTTGATTTAATGTTTGTAACTATATTTTCTGAAAAAAGATATTTTGCTTGTGTGTAGTACATGACCATGTGTGAAAAATGTTATATCCCCTCCCTAACCTCTGTAAAACAAAGTTCACAATCAAATTACAAAAAGATGATTTGCCTGGTGTTCATAATATAACATGTTTTGTCAGTATGATAAATTAATTGCTGAAGCTGAAACACAATGTCCAAATCAAGTAATTATTCTCTCTTCTAACTAAAGGACAGGCAACTTACAGCAACAATGACAGCAACAGTAACAGCTATAGGGATAGTCAGATAGACAGTTACAATGACAATATGGGTAAAATTTCTAGTTACAGAGGCAAGGACAGACAATGAAATTTACACTGACACTGACAATGAGAGTGACATGACAATGTCTGTAACAATGCTAATAAAAGTGATAGAAAACAGACAGTGAAATGACAATACTGACAGTGACAACAACAGATAAAAACAGTGAAGGAGACTAGGCCTGTCTGATTGTGTACGTAAAATTCTGTAAAGTTGCTCACTGGAATTTTCTAAAGTTGCAAAAAATAAATGCCAAGAATGCAAAAAGTTGCTACCTAAATTTCAAAAGTTGCTACCTAAACTTATTGATAACTTTTATATAAGTATTATAGTTAAAAGCCTTGGTTATCAGTCTTTGCAAAATTGCTAACAACATCAGTCAAGGAAAATAGCCTGAAACTTATGTTTAAAGAGTGACAAATATGGGTGAAAACTAAGAATATTTAAGTTTAACAGAACGAAACACATGCTTCATTTGAAGTCTTGCCGAACATCATTTTAGCAGATCATCCGTTAACAGTGACTAACAAAAACAGTGACAGATAGTGGTGGAAAGAATTACTATGATGGTGACAGTGACAGTGATATTTTATACTTTATATTTTTATACGGTCAAAAAAGCAATTTGAACTTAATTTGAAAGCTGAAACGATTTTGGTACGTCGGTCTTTAAATAAACCCTTCTCCAAAGCTCTCGGTGAACCTTCCGACAAGAATGTGAGGCCATTGATTCTATCTCATTATCAATGAGCCTCGAATGAATACACGGGGTTGAGGCATTATCATAGTCTGTGATGCATGTGTGCTCCGTTTACCGCTATTCAATTAAATATTGCAAGGTTTCTGGAAAGATTTCCGTATTACCCCATACTATTGTAAAACAAAGCCGTAGTCTTAAAAGCAATCTACTGATTTCGCCTTTGTTTTCTCCATCCAAGAACTGCATGTGCCATGAAATATGGGATTGTGCAGAAATCTTGCTAGTTAATTTTTTACTCCTTCCAAAAATTCGCTTTCCTCTCGGAGTTTGGTCGAAAGCTGTTAGAGTTTTGCATGCTTCAGGAGGTTGGCTCAAGAGTTCTTGGCTGGGTACATTTACCCTCGGTTACCTTTGGCTTGTAAATTTCATTTGAAATATATGGTGGTTTTTAGTTCTTTGTCTTTGCAGTCAAAACAAGAAAAAAAGGAACTCGAAGTCTGAGAAAGAGAATTCAACAGCGATAAGGTTCGGGTGGTGCAGTTTCACAACCGCTATAATATCCGTGTTCCTTTTCCTTTAATAGAATTTAGAGTTGATGTAACGAGAAAATGAAGCCAAAAGTCTAATAATTTGGTAAACTAAATATGCTGCTGAGGAAAAATACAAAAAAGAACCAACAAACAAAACAGAGCCAAAATCTGCTCGTCCCATGTCGAATTTTTGCAATCCAGCCGAATTGAAATGGTATTATTTTCCGAAACAGGTGAGAGGAAACTACAAGTTCTGAAGTTTTCTAGAAAAGACTAAAGGAGGTTAAATGTGCTTTGATGAATTTCACCAATTTTAATGCTTTCCTACTTTCCACCTTGCAAAAGAGAGAAATTTATCAGTATATCATCATGAAACGTTTTCGTCAACTCCTATTAAATTTTCTGTCAGTCAATCGAAGTAATTCCGATCGAATCATTGCCTTACATTTCAAAGAGCAAATGGCAGCAAAAGTGAGAACGTTAAATTAAAATAAATCCGTACATAAAGTGTCGGCCGTTTTTGTAGATAGTGGTGATAGTGTCCAATTTTCGGGAAAAAAAGGAGTTATGAGGTTAATACTGGATTCAACGCATTAATTTTCTTTCTTCATATTAAAGGAAAGTCGAATTTTTTTTATTTTTTGGAGAACAAAGGAAAGAATGATAAAGTTCATAATTGTCGGTCGAATATGCTTCCTGTCTTGCACTAAGTGGTCGAGACTGCAGAGAGGTTCTTTTCAGTCGCACTAAGTAACCCCAGGGCGTATGTCTCACAATGCAAACTTTATAAATCGAATGGTCGGAACTCTTTCAATCTTTTAAGCCTCAAAAATGCAACTTTTGGTCACGGCCGGTTAGCAAAACAATTAATTTTTTTAAATTACGTAGGTTTCGACCCAAAGTTTGACAAAAACGTGATTCTTTTCCCGGTTCGGCTCTGAGTAAAGAAGTTTCCATAATTGCATCTTATGTACCCTGGGGGTGTATATTGTGTCTGAAGCAGTGTGCAGCTCCATTCTCTAGAGGGCTTATTTATCTAAACTGGCACATCAAGCAAAATTGTTTAAGAACACCTGTTTGAGCAAACTATTTGCCATCAGAAGGCTGAACGCTCTATGCTCGCAATGTTGATAAACACGCACAGTGTGTGGGCAGCCGTTCAAGACTTTCATCTTATATTATTGTACAAAATGACAGTAGGAAATACGGTAAAAGATCATAATTCAGAAAATAGTGGATCGACAACAAAAAAAAAAGCGTTTGTCTTGTCAGTCTTATTAACACGGAAAAACTATACTGTAAATGACCAATTAAAATTTAGCAAGCTAAGAAGTACATAGTTGTAAATTTCCATTTTTCCATGTTTGTGCAAATCTCTAGAACATTTTGCTAAATTTGTTCGGTTTTCTTATTAAATTAAAACATTTCTTTCGCTCTAGTTAAGGAGACATTGTTCAGCGACACTTTCAAGGAAATAACTGTATTACATTGTAGTCCAAGAGGCATTACTCCAGTCACTCCTTTGCATTATGTTGAATTCTTGCTTTTTTGCAAAGAGCCCAAACAGGAAGAAGGAAGTTCTTTTCTAATGTTGAAGATCATCTTGGCTTGAAAAAAACAATTTCTTCAGTAACCATAGCTACCAGACGGTACCAAAAGAAAACACCTTTGGCTGAGTAACAGTTGGGCGCTAAAGAACCTTGGATCTTGGAAGGTAAGAGATGATGCTACTTTGTATATACTGAAATGACTTTTATTCTACAAAATTTTATCTCTACCCTCAACTCTAATCAACGGGATTCGAACTCGTGAATTCGGCGATACTGGAGCACTGCAAAGGTACCGCAGAGGTACTGGGTTCAAATCCCGTGCAGGCCTGAATTTTTTTCAGGCCTTATTTTCATTTTGCTCTGTTAGTGTTCATTACTGCGAAGATCATTCTCATATTCATGTTTCAAGATCGCCACAAATTGTGAATGCAAACGACAGAGAATTACCCTTAGAAATAAATTACTCATCAAACGCATGAGAGCGGATCAAAATTGATGACGAAGCCTGCTATTTGGATCACATTTGTTTCTTGTGCTAATGAACTATACGGTAAAGAAAAAAGTGGAAGGAAAAGAAGCTCCCTATTTCAAAGTATGAAGTATCGTTCTTTGGTTTTTTTCTCTGTACCTATCATGATTTCGATCCCCACTAAAATTGTTTTGTCGTCAACTTAAGTTAATATGATGAATCTTTTCACGATCTCAGCTCTCAATTTGCAACTTGCTTGCATTGCGTTCAATTTACGAGAATAATAAAAAAATTTTGCAATAAAAGAACCTTGAAATTTATAAACTTAAACAATTTATGACTTACATGGCTCCCAGTCAGTTATTTTAACTTCGCTAACATTTTTGGTGGTCGAACGGCGTACAGCCTGAGGATTTTTAACAATTTTAAAAGATAGTCCCATGAATGCCTTGGAAGCCATACACGATAGGTCAAGGCTTGGCTAAATGAGAAAATGCATGGGGGTACATCTTTTACAAACATGGATTTACTATTTTCCTAAATCGAGGTTGCGCTGAAAACAACATTTAGAGCTTTGTCTCATCAAGGCTCTAGGTTAAGTATAGAACCTATCTGAAACTGGATCTTACTCAATTATTGTAGGATATCTGAGGAGATCCTATGCGAGACTTTTTATGTGTTCGTATTACCGTAATTTCCAGCTGATTACCCGGGAGTAATCTGTTAATTTTTCCACAAACAGTAGTAGAAGGTAATACGATAATTTTAAAAGCTTCCGGTATAGTTTTAAAACCAAATGCAGGAAATAACAGAGATAGTAAGTCCACTCAAGATACTCTTCAAAAAACCTGTGCAAAATGCTCTTCATGATAAAAGCCGATGCAAATCGAAAACATACAAAACTCGATGACAAAGCTTTTCTCTTACCTTGTCAATTTCACAGCTTGATTCTTTGTTTAGTTCAAAAGACAATTCTCACTTACACGGGTAGTGAACTTGAAAATAAAATAATTTAATTGTGAAAAAGCTGGCTTCAGAGCAATTCACACGGAAAATGTGCTGATGTGTTCATTTCGTGGCGCCGCATAATTTCGACGCATCAGTGAAATTTTCTTAGCTAGCACTGCTCTGAGTTAAAGAGTATTTTCCCATTTCAAGCGATTCCTCCGACTCAGTTGATCTCGGGGTATCGATTTCTTTTGGGAACAGATTTTTGTAAGTGGTGTTATTCTCAATGAAACATCGGAAACAAAAAATGTGAAAATTTATTAATTGCACGCTAAAGGATATCATGTCAACAAAAACAATGAATCAGTTGATCTCGGGGTATCGATTTCTTTTGAGAACAGATTTTTGTGAGTGGTATCATTCTCAATGAAACATTAGAAACAAAAAATGTGAAAATTTATTGATCGCATGCTAAAGGATA